CATTTACCAAGAACCAGTCTTATTTGTAGTCTATTCCATAAATTACAAAACTTATTTTTTATTTTTTATACAAACAAGAGTTCAGAGATTTGAATGTAGTACACAAGGATTTGCAAAAACCCTATCTACCTGCCTACATTCTATATTTCTGCACTGCTGCTTGAATTGCTCTTAGAGCACCAAGCCATCTTAGTAACACCCTACATAATATTTGTAGTAGGAGTTATCTAAGAATCCTCTTAACCCAGTTCCCTGCATAAATGAAACAAGAATTCTAATTACAAAATTACGAAAAAAGCTCTACAGCTTTGTATTGTACATTAAAAAGCCTAAGCTTAAAGATCGCATATGCATCCAGATACAGTAAAACATGCTAATAGTTAAGTGCCCAGGATACAATTTAGATTTGTTACATATAAATGAAATTTTTCATAGCCCTAAAATCTTTTTTTATAGATTTCAAAACTACATGAAATGGAGATCGATTTGCTGTAAGTTTGAAATCATTATAGACATGTTCACTATAACTGTGTTTTACTGTATTTTTGTTGTAAAATGTAAATCTATCTAGTGTGAGATTCTTTGAAAAGTAATGTCCACTGGGTAGACTTTCAAGTTTCCTCCATATCAGTTATCATCCCCTTGCAAAGGGATGGAAAGGGTATAGTAACATGCTTGTGTGTGTTAGTTTATCCTGTGCATAACAGGGGTGAGGCTTGAAAAGCAGGAGGGTATATAGTAATCGTTATGTCCCTCCTTTAGTCTGTCCGTCCATCCATCTGTTACGCTTTGGGGTACCCATCTCTTATCTGTAACTCCTCCCACACCACTGAATGAAATTTGATGAAACTTTCACAGAATTTTTATTACATATTGCCATTGTGACCTCCTATTTTACTTTTTTGGGGGTTTCCCATAGAAAGGCATGGACACTGCCATTATATTGATATGAGAGGAGGGGGGTATCAATTAGTGACCTCATTGCTCACAGTACCTCTAGTTTGCATCAGGCCGGGTCAATGTGGATTGCTGCTTTGATTTTGCGAGGGGATGCTCTGCCCTTATTTCATTTAGCTATACTTTCTGATTTATTTTTTTTTTTTAATGGAAACTTAAATAATCTTTCAATGTCGTGCAAAAAAAATTTGGAGAAATTATCATTAACAGTGCTTTATTGGCTCAACATCAGAATTACCAATATATAGCCCAAGAAGTTAATTACATCAATAAATAATCTAGATATCTTTCAACATCATCCAAAACATTGACCTTGTCCAAATTGTAAATGATGCTTTGTATAATGAACTAAAACTACTGTAAATGTTGTCCATATGTCACTCGTTACTGATACTGTTGCCTATATAACTTCATTAGTTCAACGTGCATTGTCAGATCAAATGTATGTAGCCATGTTTCCAGTAACGCAAACAGTCCAGCCATCAATACCAAATGTATTGGTCAATTTTACCTGTTTCCATAAACATCTTAACTATGATGAAAATTGATGTCCATCTAAGACACTTAATTATCAGAACCAAAACATAGGGTTAATATAAGAACCCATGCAGTCAGTCATTGTAGCATTCTTGTATCTAACTCCTATTATTAATAATTAATCTAAAAAATATCTTAAAATTAATTCATTTTACAATAAAAAAAAAATAAACGACTCTGTCGATCCCTCTCCACCAAACATGAAAGAAAAGAAAAACATCAATATGCCAGTTAGGAAATTTTAAAGAATACTAATTAATTTATTTATTGCTGAAAATATCTTCCTAGTTCTCAATTTTGAAAACATGTATACAAGGAAAAACTTACTAAAATTTATGTTGTCTGTGAAAGTAATGTAAATAGAATCCATTTCCTTATTTAGAAATCAGAAGTTCTGATTAAGAACAGCTGTAAGAGGTATATGCTAACCCAACTAGAACTCTCGAATAGGGACAAATACCCCCTGCTGGGTTTTTCAGAAAAGGTGCCAATTCACAAAGACGTACTTTATGGATCTAGAGGTGTTCACATGCTTTATAAGAGATGCCTTAACAACTTCCCACAGCAAACTCATTAATTTATCTTTAACTGGATGCATGTCCAGTCATTATTCCAAAGAGATGAATGAATTTACATTATCTTCAGTGTAATGTTAAAACTGTTTTTAACACTTGATGATGTTTCTTTTTTTAGTTTTAATGAGTACATGCACTGTAGTTTTAAGCTATAGTTCACATTTTTGTACAGACATTCTAGATTCTATGTCTCAAACCTTATACATGTGCCCAAAATGAACAATTAAAATAAAAAATAAAACCTGTAAAATGCAGAAAAATGAACAAATAAAGTTGAAAATTCCATGTGCACACCTTCATATGATGAATAATAGGTGTACAAATTTTCAGATAAATCCTTGCAATAGTTTCTGAGAAACGGTATGCACAAAACCACAAAATAAAAATAAAAAAGCACCTTTAAAATTCAAAATAATCATCCAATCAAGATGAAAATATCAGGTGCACACCTTCATATGGTGAATAATAAGTGTACAAATATTTAAACAAATCCTTCCAATAGTTTCTGAATAATGGTCTGGACAAAATCTCTTCTCCAGACAGACGGACATGGTGATTCCAATATACCCCCCTCCCTTAAACTTCGTTTGCGGGGGGTATAAAAATTCATTCTGCTTCATGAATGAGACAAGAAACACTTTAATTATTACTTGTAATTTTCATGCATTACATGAATAGATAGCATGACAACATGTGTCAAGAAATTGAGGGTACACTGTATTAACTTCTGAATTAGTAAATTCAGGAGACTTATGAAGTTACTTTCTTAAATTACATGTACTGTCTAAGTGTGTTGATGCTGAGTCTTACTATTACGTCATGAATAGTAATTAAGTCTCAGCATCAACACACTTAGACCAAATAAGCTGAGGGGGCTATCCGTAAACCTCTAATCTAGGGAAAGTTATTTTTGAAAATATCAAATCTTTATAGAATTCAAAGTAACATTTAGTCTAGCTATATAATTTGTATTTCTGACAGAACACCATGAAATATCTTCATTTAATGCCTATAAAAGAATAAAGCTGATCACATTATAAACTTACACAGATATATAAAATACATTCTTATAGCAGATCATCAAATGTTGCTAAAATGGAGAACTGAGAAAATGAATTTAACCATGTTAGGCTGTATACTGATTGAGATACAGACTGAGATAGGAATGCCTCCTCAGACATGACCTACATATATAATAACACTAGCGCCTAAAACATCCTTGTTATTTACAGTCTTACAACATATACAATGCTGCTTATCCCCACCACACAAATGAAGAGCATCTAGCTAATACAAATAACAAACACAGAGAATTAAGATATTCTTGTCTCCTTAATCATTGGATTACTATCATGTAGCAGAGGATAATAGCCAATGACAACAGGAATCAGAGAGGAAGAGTTGTGGACAAAACAGAAAGTTCCAACTACATGTTACCTAACATTTTACACGTTCCTGAAACAGTCCCAAAAATTATAAGGTCATTAGAAATTAAAATTCCATTTATAATCCTTAGGTCAGGTTTGGAGCATGTGAGAGGGTGTGTGTGTTTTTTGTGGGGGGGGGGGGGACTCTCAAGACCACAAACCCTTTCTTAACAAAATGTAAATGTGTGGGGAAAACCACATAAAGTGTTGCTTCCTCTCTGTGTCACACAGCAATAAATTGTGAGGAAGAAATTAACAAAACTTTTTTGTAACATTTGATTAGGAAGTAATTCCCCATGGATAATACCCGATTGTTGGTTTCTATGTCCTCTTAAATTTTTACTAGTACTATCTGTCAAATAATATAACTCGCTTAACTTTTTCAATTTCATCTCTTTTTCAAAATCTCTTTGGTAATTTAAACACTTATAATACTTGGAGTAGGGTAACTGGGAAAAAAAGTATTATCTGACCATCAAAATTAACCTTTTTCAAATCTGCAAACATGCATTGAAGGGAGCTAAACCAACTTAGAAGTCAGTAATTGTCTGGGGTGGGTTGGAGACCTGTACAGATGAAAGACTTAAAGTGGCAGTGGGCAGTCATTTTCTGTGGTCATCAGATAACTACCTGTTATTAACATTAAATAAAGGACCAACCTATAGGATTACAGGGGCAATTACCTGAAAATGAACCAAGACCCGAAAAGGTTAATGTTAGCAAGTAAAACAGGTATCATAAGTTAAAAGGTCACAAGTACAAGCCAGATTGAACCCCAAATCCATTCTATTTATCAGACAATGTATAAAACGTGTAATTAACCTTTCAGTATGTCACCTTAAAACGAATGACTGCTTTTGGGAAAATGGAAAATTTTATCACATATTTACGACCTTGGCTTTTGGATACATTTTGTTTCCATTACAATATTACAATTATCTCTTCAATCAGGTCTGAGATGTACAATTTACCAATTGTCTGCAATGGAATACTCAGTATTTGATATATTGCATGGACTTCAATACATGTGTTCTTATTTAGTCCTTAATAAGTCTGTCCAAAAATAAGGTGAAGAAATCTGACTTTACAATTTCTGAAAATGTTATGGCAAAGATAAATGTATGGTAATTAGGAACCAAGGAAAATCTGAACTTTTTGTACATATATTAGTCTAGAGTGCTAGCTCACACACCAAAGACATTCATTCCATTCAAAACAAATGTATTCAACCTTTGTTGTAGAGGTTAAAGTCACCATCTCATTAATTAAATAGTCAATTCTGTTTATAATGAATAGGTAAACATTGAACACCTGGCTGCTCCAGTAATGGATTCTTATCATTAATTATTATGTCTTTATTCACGAGCTTTCGCTACTTTCATCTACGTGCAGGACTTTTAAACTTCATAGAGAGCAGGGCAATTGTGCATTAGATTCCTGGTTGAGACACATGCACATTGATGTACCAGTATTTGAACTTCCCTAAAATTATATTAAAACTTACCCTGGGAGTAAACATGTGGGCAAGACCAGCCCCAGCACCCCTTAGCGTGACTCCACGACCAAGAAAGATGAACAGCACAATGTAGGGGAAGGAAGCTGTTACATAAACAACCTACAACAAAAAGCAAAACATGAAGATTAATGTCAGAAAAATAATAAAAAAGGTGCAAACCCTAATCAATTTTATTACACAAATATTACAATGATCATTTATAGTAATAACCTTCCCACCCCATCTCATCAAATCATAATAAAGTAAAACCTAGAAATTTATCTGATAAATCTATATACTAAATTTCATTTCAGTATGTGCAACCTCTGCAAAGAAAATGAAAGGAAACTACAAGGAAATGAAATTTTTTCAAGTCCAAGGGGCATAACTCTGTGAAAAATGGCGCAATCGTACCCAAAACAAGACTTAACCTAGATATTCATCTGATAAATCTGTATACTAAATTTCATTTCAGTATGTGTAACCTCTGTGAAGAAAATGAATGGAAACTGCAAATAGTTGGAGTTTTTCTAAGTCCAAGGGGCATAACTCTGTCCAAAATGGCACGATCATACCCAAAAGAGAACTTGACCTAGATATTCATCTGATATATCTGCATACCAAATTTCATTTCAATACGTGCAATGGTTGTGAAGAAAATGAACGGAAACTAGAAGCTCTAAGTGGACCGACAGACCAACCGACTGACAGACAGCAGCAAAGCAATATGCCCTCCCTTCTTCGAAAAGGGGCATAATAAATGATGAATGTGTGATACCATTAGGTAAATTTAATTTTAATGATTGTCATTCATAATCATATTTTAACACTTTGTATATTTTTCACAATACTTCATATGAAATTTACCTATTAGAGCACAATTTCAAACATTAAAATAAAACTGCTCCAAACAAAGTTGGACCTTTATTTTATCATGTTTCTACTTATCAGTATATTTATTTTCATTATTTCATTCTAAACTATGCCATGTGGAGTTACACATATTTCATTCAAACATACTCCCAATAATGTGCTAATTATTTAGCTGGCATATTCAACATACTAACACAGTGATGATAAATAAAAAACCAAGAATGCATGAATTCCATTCATAGACTAATTTAAAAAAAAACAAAACAAATGAAGATTTTATCTTGTTCCTCTTTAGAACAGAGAATATACAGAGCATGTTGATAAATAGTATGTTTTGCCAAGTTTTTTTTTTTGAAATCTGATTAAATTACACAATATATGTGGCAATGATCCAAGATTACTACTACTACCCAAGGTATATGTAAACAGACAAAAAATAAGTGTACACTAAATCTACAAGTAAGGAAAGATCTTCCTGGTTTCATGTTCAACCAATGAATGGCAAAACTTGTGAATAAACAATAAAATTTACATTGATAAAAATCTTGTCAGCACTATTTATGCCTGGTTAAAAAACATGGTGGGATTGTGCATTTCAAAAGAGTCTTCATTTCCTTCCCCCTTTAAAGACCACCTCTTATCTTGCTTCCTCACAATAAACTGTATATGGCAAATTCTAACTCCATTACTTTCTACTTTCCTATCTTAATCCCCCTCTGCCCCTCCTAATACCTTCTATGTTAATCCTATATTTTGTTTTTTGATACCTCTCAGTAATAGAAAAAGAAAATGATTGAACATTGATGGCATCGAAGAATATTCAAATAGTCAAATACAATCAAACTTTGATATCTTGAAAACTGATATCTCGAATACTATGGATATAATGTTGAAGTGATTCGGAAGTTGCAAACACAATTTGCTGCAACACCTCTTGCTTAACGACGTTCGATCCTGATATTTAAAGTCTTAAACTTTTTTTGCCAAGTATATTTTTAGTTTCTACATACATAGCTTGATTAAAATTCAAATCAAAAAATGGGGGTCAATACGCTTCTTTTGGCGCTACAGTACATTTAATATGACCTTTTTGCACTGAAATTTGTGTCATAATTAAAAATTAATTTTTTTACGCTTTCCCTCCAATATTTTTATCCAATTAAAGCATGAAACAAAATGAACTCTAACTTTGTTTAAAAAAAGACACTTAAAAATTGTGACTAACAAAAAGTTTCAAATTCCTTCGCATAATCAATTATTTGACCTTTCTGCACTAATAAAAAGTGATTTTTCTGGCATTGAAAATTTCATAAGCAAGAAAATTATTTTAAAGTCTTAAACTTTTTCTGATTTTAAGCAAATATGTCAAATTTATCTTGAAAATATAGAAAAGAACATCAAAAGTGGGGGTATATGATGTAAATTTTTAGATATTACTAAAAAAGTGTCAATTTTACGTTAAAATTGGCTCAATTTTTCCCCGGATTTTCAGAATATATTTACTATATTTGTCACTTTCCGTTGAGAGAATTAATAAGAAATAATCTAATAGATATTTCAGAAACAGCATAACACATTTCACTGCAAAAAACAGCTTTGTGTGCAACCAGGATGGAAAAATAGGAATCCAAAATTAACAGTACTGTTATAGTTCAAAATAGAAAAAACTGATCATTTTCGTCTAAATAACCTTCCGCCACAAAATATAGTCCCTGGCTTAATTCTACTTGAATGGAATTTAATCGCGGTTTTTTTCATTGAATATAGTTAAATTTGCTCTGTAGAATTCAGATTTAATGTTAGAACTTAAAATTGATGTAGAATTTCATAAATAAAGGACCTCAGACCAAAATACGCTCAAAATCTCAGGATCGAACGTCCTTAAGTAATTTACCCATGATATCTCAAATCCTAAATGATACATGTATTTTCAATGATTTTTGGTCCCACTGAGATTAAGATAACAAGGTTGGACTGTATTTGTTGATATTCTAACTAAACTTAAACCTATCTTAAACCTACAATTCCAGTTTATTGAAACAATACAAGCTGAAGTTAGCTGTGGAAGAATATGTCAAACAAATTGCCAAACAACATAAAACTTATTAAAATCTTTCAATATCGCTGGTACATGGTATGTGTGAGGAAAGCAAAACATTTTTCCTTGCAAGATTTTTGCAATAATTCTAGTAGTGAAAAATCTCTCGTAGACATGAATCCATTAACCCCCACCTACAATAGTGTTTTGTGGGAGAGCTTTTTCTGAGTCTAAATATGAAGACTCCAGGCTTGTCATGTTTTGTTGTGTCTACAACTGATGTCTCAAGTAAACAGAAGACATACAATGCTACATTAATGTCAGCGGCACCTTCTATCTAGGATCTCAGAGATTTGTTTGCTTCCCTAAAGTGAACTGAGCTCCTAGAGTACTTCAAGAGGGTGCTTGGATATGTTTATTTTGGTTAAATTTATTCAAATGTCTCTATTTTGCAATACAAATAGTTCAAAGATATTTCCAAAAACAGGTAGTATGTACATGTATAAGAAATTTTTGGATCAATTGGTGATATTTTGAAATTCCTCAAAAATTTTAATTGACTAGAAACAGCAGCATAAAAGAATGACATTATATTAATAGAAATCTAAATATTCTGATTAAACAAAAGGTTCAAAGGCATTGACAGTCACCTGAGCATTACATATTACAAGTTTTTCATTAAATGAACCTTTTCAGTCCAAACTTGGACTAAAACTTTGGACTCAACATACTTAAAATTTCATATATTTCACAGATTTATTCCTTGTTAGAAGACCTTTTTGACCTCTTGACCTTGACACCAGAGCCACTTTTACAAAATTTTACCAAACTTTAACCTAATGACTTGAAAGGTTAGTGCTTGTACTTTTATATTCCTTTTGACAAGATTTTCTCTTGGGTATCAACAATTTTGACTCTTTGACCTTGACTTTGGGGGTTGACAGAATTTTGAAAAGTTTTAAAACTTTAACCTTTGCCCTGACTGTTGAACTTTACAGCTTTCTTATTTCACAATTAAGTGTTTTTCCTGTGACATTACCTTTCTCTGGGTACAATTACTTTCAACCTTTTGACCTTGGAGTTTGCAATGAACTGCCATACTGTTTAGTTTCATAAACAAATCTTAATTTTGTTACATTTATAACTGTAATAGGGTGATTCATTAGTCTATAAGCAGGACCATTTTATCCATATGGTGAACCTTACTCTTTCATACTGTAAGTGCATTATTTACAACAGAACCTTAAAAGACATAGTTAAATAACAATGTAGACTAAATCCTTCATTTAGAACTCACATAAAATACAATGGTTGAGTTTCATTGGAATTATAAATGTTGTTTACGTATGTCACCTTGACATTTTTTAATTGTCTCAAAAATAATTTTGCTATACGGGACATCTCAGACAGTTAAAATTACCTTTCCAGAAGATTTGATTCCTTTCCAAATACAAGCATACACCACACACCACGCAAAAATCAGACAAAGAAGCATCTTCCATTTAAGTCCCTGGGTCTCCTCAATGCTTGGGGAAATCTCTAGAGCATTACGATACCAAAAATAAGACGTGGGTCCACTAACATCACACTCTAGAACTGGTACTGTTATATTACCCTTAGGTTCCGTAGGACATGAAGACCATGGCAATGTCCCAGTAAAGGAATGCACCAGATAAAAAAGGCACCACATGATTATGGCATTGTAATACACCCCCACAATGAAGGAAGTGACAGCACTGGCCACCCCCACCCCTCCCAGCATGGGGTGGACCAAGTTCCATGTCCCCATACTCCCCTTGCGGAAATGTTGTCCTGCAGCGAATTCCAGATAAAGTAAAGGCATTCCTTCCACAAACAACATGATGAGGTAGGGAATAAGAAAAGCACCTGAAAATATATAATTTAGTTTTTTATATTTGATAATTCACCTTTATTCCTATAAAAGAATACCTTATTTACGATATTTAATAGAATAAGATTCATCATTATACAGTCAAACTTCATTATCTCAAACTTAATAAGACTGAGAAAAAACTTAGAGATATCTGAGGATTCAAGATTTTGAGGGCAAAATACTTTGAATATGTGTTTGGGAGTTCCATATCACTTCAATATATCTATGGTAATTGAGAATTATCGCAGTTAAAGATATTGTAGATCAAGGTATTTGCACATTTTTCTTCCAAAGACCGGGGTATATAAAATGACAAAGGGTCAAGGTCATGTTACATTATAAATTCATAAGTAATCTTTGCAGGTCTTCGGTCTTTCCAGAGTTTCTCTATTAGAAAATCAAGGACCAGACATACACTTTTGTTCTTGCAAGTGATCTTGAGCTTGTTTATATGATATTGATACCCTTAATATCAAGCCTTAAATAATTTTTGTATTTAAAAAAAAATCCCATTGATTCTCCATTAATTCAATTTCATGGTCCAATTGAGACTGCTCAGAAAGTTAAAGATAGGAAAAAACAGACAAAGTCAATTGGGCCCCAGAGGGGTATAAAAAGGTGCATTAAGCTATCATAATGCATGTGCACAAAAATCCATAATGATTGATTATAACTTTTTCTTATACTGTGAAATGCAGTTTTATCATTATACTCTTTGACTGTAAAACAATGTTGCAAATTTCAATCAAACACATTCACGTAAATACAAAGCACCTTTCCAGAGTTCTGAAAGTTCCAAAATTGACAAATTGAATTTCTAGTTAAATGGGGACAATGCTCCTCAAAACATGCACTTAATGCAACCAACTGATTTTCAGCACAGAAGTATGTACAAGTCTTAGCCAATGTCTTTCAGTTTAATCTCATACAAACTTACTAGAAAATACCCGGTAGAATTCTTATAAATTCTAGTCAACAAAAGGTCTTAGCTCTCTCAAAAGTCACAACCCTAAGAAAATTTAATTGTTATGCATACAAGCATTCCATGTCTCCTCAAAATATTTCAATTTTAAATTTCAAACATCTTTCCAGAATACATATTTCTGTCCAATTTCAGTCAATCAAGGGCCAGAACTCTGAACAGAGCTGTCAAAGTCTCATCAAAGCACCTGGAACCTTCAACTCTAAACTTGGTACTATGTGGTGAAGTATTTAAAATTATTTTAGAATATTTGGTTCGCAATTGGCATATATGCACTGATATCAATTATACTTTGGACAGTAATTGTAATACATGTAATTTACCTAACCAAATAATAATGATTGCTTTTTTTCACCATCAGATTACAAGGGCATTGACTGAATATTATATTCATATTTTCTTACCCATTTCCATTGTTTAAATTCTTTTTAATTTCTCTCTCTCTATATATATATTAGGTGGTCTACCAAAAACAGATCCCAGGTTTGTTCTAAATCCAAATACTTATTCCCCATCACTAAAGGTCCACAACTCTGACACAATTATATACATACATGTTGTGATACAAACACCTACAATATGGTGTTCAGGTGTTTATATACAAAGCTGAAATTCCACAAAGATCAAACTTAAGCTACAACACCATATGCCACATACAATACACCAATTTTCCAATTAACCATGTTACCCCAAATTTTCTGGAAAACTAGAGGTACTGTGAGCAATGAGCTCACTAAATGATACCCCCTGCCTCCTATATGAATATAATGGCAGTGCCCATGTTTTGCTATGGAAAACCCAAATTCTGTGTCTGATTAAAAAAAAAAGGAAGTGCACAATGGCAATATGTAATAAAGATTCTGTGAAAGTCTCATCAAATTTCATTCAGAGGTATGAGAGGAGTTGCGAATAAGAGATGGGTACCCCAAAGCGTAACAGACGGACGTACAGACAGCTAGACAGACGGAAGGACATAACGATTACTTTTATACCCTCCCGCTTTTCAAGCGGGGGGGGGAGGGGGGGGGGTTATAATAAAATAAGTAAAGCATAGAAACGTAAAACCTATAATCGTTCCAGTTTATATCCAGTAGTAGTAGAGCTGGGGGATTAAATCAAATTAACACCACTTAATTAAAATCAGTCAGTTTTTGGTAACTGGACCTCTAAATAATATAAGTTTATGCAGAATATATCTTTGGGCAATACAGTCCACCAGTGTACAAAATGACAAATATGACATACAACATATAATACAATCAACTCTCAGTGAGTCTAAACTGGCGGGTGAAACCCCAGGTCAAGTGTTAAAATAAAGGTACTAAATATTTTTTATATGCTGAAATACAGATTGACTTTGAATGGAATAATTTCATTTATGCCTTTGAGTTCAGACATTTTGTTAATAATGATTTAATATACAAAGGTCAAACAATCCATAATTATTTCATTATTTTCATGCCAAACATCAGGATCGACAACTTAGCGTGGGCAGATTTGGGATACCAATATGTGAGGGACTGAAAGACCTGTACCAAATAAAATGTGGAGATACAGCAGCCCCTGGGAAGCTTCATGACTGCTAAATAAAGGGATGAACCTGGTAGATCTAAGGAGCCTGTTTTACAAAAGAATCTACAACTAAGTTGACTATCAAATCTTGCAAAATCAATGACTGAAGAAAAAAATGACCTGGATAAAAATATCTTTCAACCAGAAGTCTCTGTCGAGACTGTAGCTCTACTGGTTTGTACTTATCAAAAACCATTACACTATTTTATGTATCTTAGTGTAGTCTACTTGTGTGCCAACTTATTTTGAAATCAAACTAAAACTGTAGAAGGAGTAGCGTTTTGAATGAATTTCACAGAAAATTCTATTTTTAGTAACCATGGTAACACCGTTCATCAAAATCAAAAACCGATGCACTATTCTATGTATCTTAGTGTAGTCTACTTGTGTGCCAAGTTATATTGAAATCAGACCAAAACTGTAGAAGAAGTAGCATTTAAAAGGAATTTCACAGAAAATTCTATTTTTAGTAACCATGGCAACACCGTTCATCGAAATTAAAAACCGATGCACTATTCTATGTATCTTAGTGTAGTCTACTTGTGTGCCAAGTTATATTGAAATCAGACCAAAACTGTAGAAGGAGTAGCGTTTTAAAGGAATTTCACAGAAAATTCTATTTTTAGTAACCATGGCAACACCGTTCATCAAAATCAAAAACCGATGCACTATTCTATGTATCTTAGTGTAGTCTACTTGTGTGCCAAGTTATATTGAAATCAGACCAAAACTGTAGAAGAAGTAGCATTTAAAAGGAATTTCACAGAAAATTCTATTTTTAGTAACCATGGCAACACCGTTCATCGAAATTAAAAAAAAATGTATCTTAGTGTAGTCTACTTGTGTGCCAAGTTATATTGAAATCAGACCAAAACTGTAGAAGGAGTAGCGTTTTTAAGGAATTTCACAGAAAATTCTATTTTTAGTAACCATGGCAACAACGTTCATCGAAATCAAAAACCGATGCACTATTCTTTGTATCTTAGTGTAGTCTACTTGTGTGCCAAGTTATATTGAAATCAGACCAAAACTGTAGAAGGAGTAGCATTTGTAAGGATTTTCAAAAAAATTCTATTTTTAGTAACCATGGCGACACCGTTCATCGAAATCAAAAACTGATGCACTATTCTATGTATCTTAGTTTCTACATGTGTGCCAAGTAATATTGAAATCAGACTAAAATTGTAGGAGGAGTAGCGTTTTGAAAAATTGTTTACAGACAGACGGACAGACAGACGGACGGACGACGGACGCATTACTATCGCATAAGCTCTGCTGGTCTCTGACCAGTAGAGCTAAAAATTAAAAAAAAATTAAAATCATTTTAAACTCAATGTTGAAAAAGAAGGTTGTTCTAAAAATTACTTTGGTTTTTGTATCAAGTTCTGGACCCCAAGATCTTACATATCTTTTTAAAAAAGGATTCCAATCTAATATCACAATATTATCAAACATGTGCAATGAGGTGTATCCAGTGCATATATACTTATACAGTACAGGTATGTCATATGGAAATCATCCAAATAAGATAATAATCTTGAACATTTCTACGGATGTCCATTCATGAATGACCTACTAAAATATCTGGAACATTGCATCAGAAATATTCCTCTTATTATGTTTTTTATCCTTTTCAAAAAATGATATTCATAAAAAATACTAGTGCTCCATTTTTTTTTTTAAAACAGTTGTTTTTTTTTCATTTTTTATATTTTAATTAAAATGATTGGCCTAATTGATCTATAGCAATAAAAAAATAATGTCATGCAGCTAAAATGGAACAAATATTTCAAAAAGAAAAATAAATAACTTGTATTATACTTGTTAACTTTGTGTATTATTTTTTCTGAGCTCCTATTACTAAGTACATTACATTCAACCTTTTGTCCTTGTGGATTAGTGACTGAACTTTAATTGACAATGTGTTCTTAATACTAATATAAAATTTATGTTAAAAATATACGCAATTCAACTGACGACAATGTGGGGTCAAGGCACATAAATCATAAAAAATCAACTTAATACTTTATAATTCCATGTGTATAAAATGTAGAAAATATCTTACTTTAAGCTTCTTTCCAGGTATACTGTAATACAAGACTCTTAATCACGTATGTATATGCATGTACACAGCCATTCCTAAAGCCAAGTAGAGAACCAACACATAATGGTTCAATTCAGAAAAACCATGCACTGGACCTCCCCCTTTCTCCCCCTCATCAAGCGGGAAGCAACTCGTTGTGAAACTGACACGTGTGTGTAATCTGATACATCAAACAAAACAAAAATAAATCAACTTTATTTTTTAAAATTAATCAACTATTGACCTTTAATCAGCAATATTTACTTTATTCTAAATGAACAAAATGCTATAGATACGGTTCTTAAAAATGCCATTGAAAGACACAGAAAAAAACGGCATAATTTAAAATATTGGCAATGGCAGGGTTGTGTACGTGAGGAAGATTTAGAGGCCACGTGTTTCATGTTTTGTAAAAAATCGCGGACGTCATAGAAAACACAGGGTTACGGATATGATAGATAGTACAAGTAAACATTTTTTAATCAAATAAACAAAAGATTTGAGCTAACCTCCTCCATGCTGCTGACACAAATAAGGAAATCTCCAAACGTTGCCAAGTCCCACAGCAGTAGAAATAACCATTCCAAAATACTGAAATTTACTTCCCCATGCTGGCCTTTCATGGTCAAGAATTTCTTGTTCTATGATGACATCCGTGTTCAATGGATGCATCAGCTCAGCATCATTCTCTGAATTAGTCCCTTTAGATTTTGGCATTTTGTTGTCTTATTAAATTCCCCCTTTACTAAACACAGTGTAGCTTCGCGATCATGAATGAACGACTGCACGCTAGAGCGGGCGCTGCTATGTTATTCGTCAAGGGTGCGCGAAAGGACTACACCAATTACAATTAAATTAGTAATGGTAACAGAGAATTGTGCCAAGTTGAAATAAAACCCGATTGAAATCATGACTGCTTTTAACAGAAATATTCCAATTTTTATTGATCTCTGGTATTCCGCCTCATTTAGTGTTGTGTTATCGATCTGTTTTCTTCCTCTTTTTATTGTTATGCGCATACCACGCAACGCATGCAATAGTATTCTTAAAAAAAAATAGAAAAAATAAAAATTTTACGTTTTATTGGAAAAAAATTTAATAATTTCCCCCCAAATTATAACTGCAAACTTGAAATGGTTACAGCGGAAGACATTATTGTTGTCTAGCCCACGAATTAAACTCCTTAATCATTATTATAAATAAATAAATATGACTTTAAAAAACATTTAAATAGTATCGACAAATAATAAAAACTCTTGACAAACTGTTTTCAGTTCCAATTATAACTGCAATCTATTTCATTCGAAAGTGGCCAAATTCACAAAAAGAGATAATCATAGACATTATATGTTGTCTAGTTTACAAAGCATAAACTATAGTTAACAACGTTAATATATATTTCACATCTGTCCATAGTTAACGCGATTATTATTATTATTAACACCGAAAACAAATATGCAAAACATAGATTTATATACAAAAAAAATCATTTAAATAGTTATCTGATAAATATAGTTTCACAATTTGTGAAAATAAAAACTCTTAACAAACTGTAAACTATAGTTTACAAACGTGAATCTAGTTTATCAACAAACTCATTGTTAACGCTTTATTACAGACAGATAAACTTAAATTAACACGTAAACTATAGTTAACAACCGTTAAATATGAGGAAAACTATCTCGGTTTTGATACGGTTTGTATCTATTACATTCGATAATGTTTATCAATTGTGAAAAAATTATTTTTGTGAATTTGGCGTGCCATAGATATATTTTGTATACGTTTTCGAATTGCTCTTCTTGACAATATAATAATTAGTTTTAAAGTCACCCCCACCGAATTTTGTCTGTATGAATAGAATAGAATAGAATATATTTATTATTCCAGATCAGGGTCCTTGTGAGCATATAACATACATGATTATTAAACAAAGCATATAATAGTTATTAACAAAATATGATGTAATTGTAGTATTCAGCATATTCTAGTACATGTATATACTTAATCAATTTACACATGGTTCATAATTTGAGACAATTGCTAACATGTGAAATTTATGTATGTATATATATGGACACTGTACATCTATGAAAACTTCGTTATTTTAATTTTGGTATTTAGTAATTTTATCATCATTAGGATGAAAAGGGCGAGGAGGTGGGGCGCGGATGTGTCCGGAGATGCAATAAAATAAAAGACAAAATAAAAATGATCCTAAAAATTACTTTTTAAATTGGGGGGGGGGGGGTCGGCTCCGAAATTTTTTTTCTTGCCATTGAGCAATAAATGAATGAAAGAATGAATGAATGAAAGAACGAATAAATAAATATGAGGAATTTTCAGCCCTTTGACACGCTCCAACATGATCCGCCCACACACTTACTTCAGCAAAGCAAAGTGAAAGTAGAAAGGGTCGTAACTCCAATACCGTTGTTGTTTTCACACGACTCGCAAATGATGCAACGTGAACGCGTGCGTGGCATATATGATTTCCTATGTTCTTTTTATCTTGTCTTTGAATGTAAATCTTGTACACAGCAATGCATGGAAAGCAAGAATGAATGAAGTTAGCCACATTAGGAGTCCTTTAGTTAGAGCAGTGTATCAACGTTTGAAAGAAGACGAACGACAACGAAATGACGATCATCATTATGTACGTTTTATTTTTGAGCAGCTCAAGTAGATATGTATTTTTATGTCTCTGTAATCGAAGACTGGTAGGCTATATAGATTTTGAACTGTCTGTCCATATTTCAGTTTGACTGTTTGTCTGCAAAAAACGTTAATATTGCCCATAACTTTTGGTTAATGGAGCTATGTCTCTCGTATATCATTTGTGTTTGCCTTTCTTTCAGTACCAACATAGTTGAACTCTTGACCTTGGAGTTTGACACAATTTTGCAAGAATTAACCAAACTTAAATCCTTTTGATGTGAACAATTTTGACTTTTGGCCTTGGAGTTTGACCCACTGTTATTTAAAATAATTTAACCTAGGACATGACTTTTCAAAAAAAAACCTTAACCTTGCATTTGCCTTCCTTTTGATGTGAACAATTTTGACTTTTGGCCTTGGAGTTTGACCTTATGAAAAAAACCTTAACCTTGACCATATGTTTTGAACAGTAGATGTGAAGGCTTTAATATTTCACTTGTGTATTTCTCATGACAAGCCCTTCCCATGGGGTAACTTGAATTTAACCCTTGAATTTGACCTTAGGAGTTTGACCCACATTTTAAAAAAGATTATTAATCTTGACCATAATCATCCTCTGACCTTGGCATTTGACTTGAATTTGAGAAATTTCAACCTTTGCCTAAAATGCCAAAAGCTGGCATATGGGGGCATCAGTGTTTCACAAACATATCTTGTTTCTGATGCCCTTCATTTGATTGTCCTGCTATGGTAATAGTTCTACAAGGACAGTTCTTCTGGTTTTTGTCAATTGATTTATTTTTAAGTGTTCAGCTGTTGTTTATCCCTGCATTAAGTATCTTTTTCTGTTCTTGCAGTGGTACAGCTTTGACAGAGCCAGAGTGTCAGCCGATGTTTGTGAGTGCTTCATTCAGTCCCATCAGGACGCAGAAACCGAGCAATTCCTGTCCAACTGTTACGAGAAAGCTGATTGGATATTTACACAGCTTTATCACTCTATTGCCAAGTCCATCCTTAGCTGGTTTATGACCAGCACTTCAATCAATGGGTAAGCAAACAAACAGACTTAAATGGACAATAATTGTGCGCAGTTTATATGTTCAAGGTTATCTTTTAAATTAATAGAAACAAATGAAGAATTAAGGCTACCAAAAATTGAAATTCTGGTTCCCAGACCCGCGAACATCTGTTCTGAGATAGCCGCATTGCTAATTTATTGTATTTTTGATAAAATAAAAAGTTGGCATTGTGGAGACCAATCCAGAAAAAAAAAAGTTCTGTTCTTATTAGCTCTACTGTTCAAATACCAGAAGAGCTTATGCGATAGTAATGCGTTTGGCGTCCGTCAGTCTGTCTGTAAACAATTTTTCAAAATGCTACTCCTCCTACAGTTTTGGTCTGATTTCAGTATAACTTGGCACACAAGTAGACTTCACTAAGATACTGTGTATCGGTTTTGGATTTCGATGAACGGTGTTGCCGTGGTTACTAAAAATAGAAATTTTCATGAAAAACATTCAAAATGCTACTCCTCCTACAGTTTTGGTCTGATTTCAATAAAACTTGGCACACAAGTAGACGACACTAAGATGCATTATTCTGTTTATCAGTTTTTGATTTCAATGAACGGTGTTGCCATGGTTACTAAAAATAGAAATTTCCATGAAAAACACTCAAAATGCTACTCCTCCTATAGTTTTGGTCTGATTTCAATAAAACTTGGCAAACATGTAGACTACACTAAGATACATAAAACTGTCTAACTGTTTTTGATTTCAATGAATGGTATTGCTGTGGTTACTAAAAATAGAAATTTCTGCGAAATTGTTTCAAAATGCCACTCCTCCTACAGTTTTTTTCTGATTTCCATATAACTTGGCACACAAGTAGACTACACTAAGATGCATAAATCTGTTTATCGGTTTTTGATTTCGATGAATGGTGTTGCCGTGGTTACTAAAAATAGAAATTTCTGTGAAAAACATTCAAAATTCTACTCCTCCTACAGTTTTAGTCTAATTTCAATATAACTTGGCACACAAGTAGACGACACTAAGATACATAATTCTGGGTATCGGTTTTTGATTTCGATGAACAGTGTTGCCATGGTTACTAGAAATAAGAAATATTTGTGAAATACTTAAAAAATGCAATTCCAAATGCAGTTTTAGTATGATTATAGTACATGTATAATGTGGCATGCAAGTATTGTACACTAAGATACATGATCATTATTCTGTTTATTGCTGGAGTGAAGTTTCAAGTCCCAACTGCCACTTTTCTTTGTTTAAAGTACAAACCAGTAGAGCTACAGTCTCGACAGAGGCTTCTAGTTTTTTCGTAGTTTAGTATTCAAATATCACTTCTGCTAGCCATTTTCAAAGAGATTTTGGCTACTTCGTTTGAAAATACATTCAAAGACATTGCCTACGATGTTCACATGCTGATAAGCAATGGATAAAGCAAATCTTTTGATGAGACATGGAAGGTATATCTGTGATTAAAAAAAATTATCTTTATTTTAAAGAACATTCGAAAATTAAAATTTAAAAAAAAACTCCCTCATCTACTTTATTGCCAATAAAATAATAAATAAAATGCCTCCCTCCAGCATCTGTTTTGGAGAAAATTGGCCTGAGAACCAAAGAATTAAATTTAGATAGCCTACTTTTTATGTCCATCCCCATAATCAAATATTTGTGGGCATATACACGTAGCTTTTAGTCTGCTTGTCCATCTATATGTTATTCTGTTTTCCTGTAAAAAAACCTTGGTCATAACTTTTAAATGGTTGATCCTAGGGCTTTCATATTTCTTGTGTGTATTCTTGAGACAAGCCTTTTTTGGATACCAACATCCTGACCTTGGAATTTGACTAACTTGAGCAAATAAATGAAAGATTATATTTCAATTTTAATATTTCTTACATACCTGGTAAATCTCAATAAAAAGAATTGAAAATGAGTTTCCAAGGGACAATTCAAGTTGCCCTTTATTTTCAACACAACTTAGTAGTTGTAGTGTCCCATAATTCATTGAGACTCATTCATCAGTTGGTAAAGTAAACAGATAGATAATTTACATGCAAATTTATGCTGATGTTAGGAAATCTAGTGGACCTGTTATCAGAATTCTAGTGCTTCCACTGAATGTAATAATCAAAGGGTATCAATTACAATTTGAAGTTTTCTTTTCTATTAAAAACCAGTTTCGAGATTTATATAATATTTGAAATGATTTTTGAAGCATAGAAACTTGCTACCTGCTTATGCCGACTAAGTAAAACGAAATTTTCAAGAAATATAGACCTTACTTTGACTTTATGTTCCAGACTTCTCCAGCGAGGTTCAATGTTTGTATTCTCTGATGAACAACTGAGGCAGCTTCTACAGATTGGAGTGGGATGGGAAGGACAGAACATGCTAGATCTAGGTAACTCTCTTTGAATGTCTCTTTGCTGTTAATACAAAACTGAATACTGGTAAATGTCTAATTGCTCACCAGACTGATCATCTTCATAAAACCATAAAGACAGTTTTTTCCTCTTATATTTATGTTTTTACCTGATTTTGTAATTCAATACATTCTTTTTAATCAACAATAAATCTTTGCAAGTCCTTCACAGTTAAAACTAAGCAACACAACACTAAATAGGCATGCAGTTCAATCAAGATTTAAGTGCAGAGAAAATTGCTTTACGAGGTTATAAAGCTATAATCTTTTTAGTAGTTTGATCATGGATAAATATGCTTGAAAATGTAAATATTTAGTCTAAAAAAGCAATGACAGATACTTTTATATGCATGTTTTGTAAACTGATCAATGTAGATTATGTTAATTGGAATGAGATAGTAGCTTAGTACCTCTCTGAACTGAAAGTCCTCAAAACTTCATGTCATCAAAGAAATTTTCTACCTGAATTCTTGGTTCCCATAACAGGTGCAGGAGATGGACGGGTGACTGAAAAAATGGCCAAATACTTCAGACAAGTTTATGCTACTGAAGTGTCCTCAACAATGGTATGGAGACTACAACAGAAGAACTACAAGTAAAGCAAATACACTCTGTACACATTAACTAAATAAAAACATGCAATGTAATTTTAACTGATAGCAAAGTTAAAATTCCATATGCTAGTATTAAACTTGTTAGAATGTGTTGACAGCAGTTATAGAATTTTGAGTTAGGGGTCTTATTTTGCATTTACCTTTTTCAGAATCCTTGGGCTGGATGAGTGGGACAATGGTAGTGTCTCCTTTGATTTGATTAGTTGCCTCAATCTTTTGGACAGATGCAACAAGCCAATGACAATTCTTCACTCTATGAAGAGGGTGTTGACAACTGGTGTAGGAAAAGCTATAGTGGCAGTGGTGCTGCCATTTAAACCATATGTAGAACAAGGTACTTAAAATAGAAACATTTTCATGCAAGGTAAAAAATACTACTATAGTAAGTAACTTTCACAAAAAATTTACATTCACTAAGATTTTCATGTTTTGCTAGAAATGACAAAGCTACCTTTCTCAATTCAGATTCAACGGATCACGTACCTGAGGAGAACTTACTGATTCAGGGACAAGGCTTTGAGGAGCAAGTTCAGTTCTTCATCAAAAAAGTGTTTGAACCTGCAGGTTTTGTCGTAGAAAAATTCAGCCGACTGCCTTATCTTTGTGAAGGAGACCTACACCAATCATTTTATGCACTAGACGATGCAGTATTTGTCATTAAACCAAACTCTTGATAAACAAAAATCAAAATTGGTGCAGCAGAAAGTACCAGTATTAGATTCACCACAAAGTGCCTGAATTGCAATCCCCATCTTCATTTGAAGCCTGTATACAGTTACATTAATACTGTGCAACCAGAAATTCAAACTGCTTTGGGAGTGAAGTTGTGTGATTAACTGGAAACTGTCAGAAAGTAGTTCTTTTAAAGCTGTATGAAACTGGATTATTGATACAATCTAGGTTACTGAGAGGCAATTTTAATTTTCTTTTGCCAAGAGTATGAAAATTTGAAGTGTTGTCTGGTCCTCAGGTCGTTTATTGATAACTTAGACTGTAATTTTGGGAAGTTTTTAACAATTACTATACAAGCTAAAGAACACTGTATTACAAGCATATTGTACAAAACTGTGGTGCTAAATGATCTTCCCTTTTATATTCAAGGTTGTACTTTTAAACCATTCATGTATGCACTTGCATAATATATCTACAGTAATGAATGATTATACATGAAATGAGTCTACAATGTTATTTTATCTCAATATACTGAAGATGTACAAGAGTTATTTTTCAAGTTATTTTTAGTAATAAATTATTTTAGAATGAAAACTTTTTATCAGTTTTATTCAATAATAAAAGCATGCAAGGTGAAAAAAGTTAGCAGATCTTCTGTTTGAGAATTCAAAAAAAACATCAAAAACATATAACTGTACCCATAATTGTTTCAGTATGTTTTATACATATTTAGTCATGCAATCTATAATATTGCCAAAAATTCAAGTTCTATTCTCTGAGTTTAGAATTTTTAGTCTGAACACCTATCCTCTTTGTGCTTTCTGATGAGGGTTTCTGCATAGCATATTTCTGGAAAAAGAAAGAAAATTAAAACTTACCAAGATGTGTATCCAAAACAAGAACAATATGAAGATATACTGGTAAACTTACAAAGCATTTGTATTGCCGGGCAAACAAGTTTAGAAAATAAAAGAATTTTGAACCTGATTTTTTCATGCTGTATAAATTTATAAAACCCCCACCTGTATAATGATCTGACAATGATAAGTACCAACCCTTAATTGCTAGTGAAAGGATAATTTTAAAACCCAGGAATGTGACCATTAAGGAATACTAAATGATACCAATGAATATTAAAATCAATTTAAAAGTGTGAAATACTCTTTTTCAGTCTGTCCATTGCATGGTGATCACACAAAATAGACTTCATAACATCCATCCTCATGTCTTGAATCGCAATCAGCAACCGTCCATAACTGTTCTTCTCTGCCAGCATATCTGTATAATTATTTTTATTTTTAAGAACATTTGAAAATTACATTAAGTTATGTTTACTTTGTTATTTATGTACAATACCTCATGTTTATCTTCAAGGGTTTAATATGTGCTGTTAATAGGAACTCTGTGATGAAATGAGTGTTTCAGCATTCTGTCTTGCTTTATCTGCATGTACAATACCTTCAGAGAAAGTCCACATTGCAGGGCTAGGGATTGGACAAGGATCTGGGGACAAGGATTGTGTCATTGCTGTATCTGAAAAAATTATTGCATAAATTATTTGTTTGAATTGTGTTAAAATGTGAAAGATGATGTACAATGCCCTGTATTACAAAACACTTATATGAAAATATGGAGATACCTGATGATGTAGCTGAAGTTGAACCTACGAGACTTTCCATGTCTTGGGTCAAGTTATCATCACCATTATTCAGGTTTTCCGTTTTCTGATCCACCTCACCTTTCTCTGTAAGCTGAGCATTGTGCTGTCCTTCTGCCACATATGACTTCATTTCTAAACAATGCTCCTGTTTCATATTACCAGGATAATCAGAAATCGTTTGCTTTATGTCTTCATTTTGGAAATCCACTTTCGATGAAGTTCCTTCATTTGAGCTTAACGCAACAGTTTTACTTGTTACTGATGTATTTTGACCATCATCCACAAGAAAAGAAGTGGTTATACCACTGGCTTCATTGTGGAAATTAACATTACACTTTCCTTTAAAATTCATATGAAAATTGAATCTGTTTTGAAGAATTTTGTTCATCTTTTCTGTGTTAATAACTATAATTTTCTTCTTCTTCGAAGTTTCACTGAGAGGATTATTATTTGCATCATTCAGCTTCTCTGCCTCGACTTTCTCATTCTTTTCGTCACTGTTTTTCTCAGGTCCCATCTTCCCAGGTTTCATACAGGCAAGCTTCTTCTGTTTAAGTTTTTTGTTGTTTTTTTCCAGCTTTAGTTTGAGCTTTCTCTTCACTCCTGAGGAGGGCTTCTTTGCAGCTGCACTCTTGGGAATTTTTGGGGGTGTGGACAGAACATTACTGGGACCTGCAATGTTACTTTCAGGTTTGAGAAGGGCTTTGCCCAATTCCGTTTCTTCCTTTGGCTTAATTGGTGGCAAAGACTTGGGATGCTTGGTTGATTTAGCCAAACTTGGTATAGCCATCTTTGTAGGTGTTGAAATCTTGTCAGAAATGTCTTGAGATTGTGTAGTGGTGGTACAAGTAGCCATTTTTGAAATGGCTATCTTTGCCTGGGGATGACTTTCTTCTTTTTTCCCTGAAGAGTTTGGACACTTGTTTCCAGCTGTCTCATTTGTGGGCCTTATAAGGGAAGGAAGTGGACAGGAAGAGAGCATTGAAGCAGTGGATGGTGAGCACAGAGTGGAGGCTCCTAAATGCATTAAAGGAGCTGCCACAAAAGACAAGGAGAAACCCGAGGGTAAAGATGAGTTGGGCACCTTTACATAATATCCAACATTCTTGATGTTTTGAGCCATCCATGATCCCAAATTTGCATTGATGTCAAGCAGCTTAGAAGCATTGGCTGATGTGACTTTTGTCTGGGAAGTTGAAACCTGTGTTGCTGTAGTGCTAGAACCTATTGCCAAACTATCTTGTTTTTCAGCTTGTGACATGCTTAAAAGTGGCATCAAAGGTGCATTGATGGGACATAGTAAGGACCTAGGGAGAGATCCACTTTTACTTGAACTAGTGCTCAGACCTGTATTGGTTTTCTGACCTGGTCTTGTCATCAACTGAGACAACAGAGAGCTATGGATGATGGGATGGCTTTGCTTGACATCCGTCTTGTTTCTTTTATCATCTGTTTGACTCATCTCCACTGGTTTCCCTTTCTGGTTGCCATTGTCTGTGGTTTGTGCAGTTGTTGGTGTATCCTTATTAGTTGTTTCCAAAGGTCCTGTGCTAGTGTTGGCCAAATCAGTGTCTGATTTCTTCTGTGTTTTAGACAATTCTTCTTCATTTTGTTCACATGCTTTGTCAATAGACTGCAATCCTTCTTTATCTAAAAAAAATTATTTATGTAGAGAATCTAACATACTTTTACTAAATTGACAGCCTCATTTTATATCAGTTTCTGTCAATTACTTTATAAATACCAAAAATGTAATCTACTCTTCTATCTTTCTGGCAGTGTATGTATTTTACTATCTTTAGAACTAGGACTGTGAATTTTTCTAAATATTGACAAGAATTGCTATTTAATATCTTACCGAATGGAATTCCTAGTTTTGCAGTAATCGTTCTACAATTCTCACAGACTGGGCAGTTTCTGATAACACTTCTTACCAGATCTTCACTCATTCCAAAGTTTCTTCGTCCAAATGTGTATGTTTTTTGAATCTGTAACAATACTTTACATATTATGACTTTCATTAATTATAAAATGCACTATCCTACACTTTCACATTTTATAATTTAAATTTTCCAATTAATATTTCTCCAGTTAAATTACTATAAAAGATACAGTTAATGGCAAAAATATTTTTATTCAATCTAAGAAAAGTTTTTGACTTTTCATTTCGACATTTATGCTAAAGAAAATTGATAATGCACTTTTCTCAGCTAAGCCTATATGAGTATAACGAACACCTTTCTCATAGTGGCATATGCATTCAAGTGGCCACTTAGTTCACAATGGTTTTCAACAATGATTTGCACAAATCTTTCTTTTGGAACTACAACTTTTCCAGTGGGCAAATGGATAAGAGCATTTTCTGATTCGCGATACAACAGTCTTTGCATCCATGATTTAAATTTTCGAAAAGGTCTTGGTCGAGCACTATCTTTTTGGCTGGCAAAGTTGGCTTCCAATAACTCTCTCTTACTAGGAAAATGTCCGTGTGCCAAAAACCTTACAACAATATCATATTGTTGTTGATTCAAGCAACCGCCGCGCCCTGTTTCGTCCATTTTTATTATCCAAACACTCGAGTGACTAAGAATAAATTTCACGCGCTTTCCCGCGCAACAACTTTCCCTGGATGTTGTCGTGCGAGACAGAGGAGTATTTTCCCCATACTGTTACATTATCGTAAATCGGAAATTTACAATTTATTTTGTGCTTGTACTTTCTTAGCATGGCATTTATTTCTTTCCTTACGTGACCTAGCTATCGGTTTTCTACGATGGCCGATATCAGCCTGTACATACCGACTGCTATTGAAATTTTTACATCTAAAATGTACGTTGACATGTACATTTTTCAATGACAGTGCACACTTTGTGCTCTTAACTTTTGTCTGTACATGTACATTTTGCAATGACAGTACACACTTTGTGCTCTTAATTTTTGTCTGTACATGTACAAAAAGGCAAAAGGCAAATGTCAAAACGTGAACGGTTGAAACGCATATGCTCTTAATTACAATTACTGGTCGGCGAAAAACCATTAAATATGAATAAAACTGTACAACGGGGAAAAGTTGAACAATTGATATTAAAACAAGATTTGTGTTGTGTAAAACACTATGCCAGCAATGGTAACACAGTTCGGGGGTGGAATGTAGACGTGGTATACACTTGTAAGATGTTTTAAGGGTGGCAAAGTCGAAAACACTTTAGACCTTTTGTTTTTTCAAAAAAGTATTGTGTTATGGGTAATTACTGAACTCTTAATGAAACCCAATGTTACAGTTTTTCCAATGATGGTCAAAGGTTACAGTTGAGGTCACAATTTAATCTTACGTTATATTATCATGGTTAGTCTCTTACTCATATAATGTCCTTTGCAACTTTCCTTTACTTTTGATAAAAAAGAACGGTAAACTATATAGTCATCATTTTCTGGGTTGGATGGAGGCAATTCATTGTGCAAGAAATGTTTGTGGAATATCGAAGGTGATTTAAATCTCTGGAAATTTCATTCTTTTCAGTAAAAGAAGACAAATTTTAACATTAGTTTTAATGTTCAGAAGAATGTTTACATTTTCTTTTAATATTTTTCATCCTTTTTATTGCAAAATTAATCTTCTCAGTGCCTTGTCCAATTTTATTCATATTTAATCGTTTTTCGCCGACCAGGAATTGTAATTAGAAGCAAATGTGTTTCAACCGTTCACGTTTTGACATTTGCCTTTTTGTCATTTTGTACATGTACAGACAAAAGTTAAGAGCACAAAGTGTGCACTGTCATTGAAAAATGTACATGTCAACGTACATTTTAGATGTACAAATTTCAATAGCAGTCGGAATATGTACAGGCTGATATCGGCCATCGTAGTTTTCTCAATAGAAGACAGGCCCTTTATGCGAAATAGGTTTCTATTGAAACTGAAAGGAAAATTAAAGTTAAAATTTTTATTGTTCATTTTTAAGCTCCAAAATTAATACAAGTTCAAATCATTAAACAACTGTAAAACACAGTTTTAAAATATACTGAATTATCGGAAGATCTACATGATTTATTCCAGATTTTATTCCCTCAATTCCATTTCTGTTCGAGCTTCGTCAATTCATTGTTTTGTGGCTGTTGGTATTCAATTTTAATTTTTCATTTGAGGAAATTAACAATTTTTCATTGTTATTGCGTGCATCACATCAGAAATTAAAATACCCCCCCCCCCAACCTACTAAATTTGATCGGGTTCGAAATACATAACAGTATTGATGTTGGAACTGCCCAACCTTGACGAGTGGTAGACAGTAGTAGAAAACCACAGAATATTGATGTATTCCTTGTGATTTGAGACAATGACACTGCAATGGAGTGGAGAACAAGTGGTAGCGAAATTACCAGACGTGCAGGTATGGTGCAAATTCACGTAAACTTTGTGTCTTTTCTCTACCAGATCTACATTTCATTTGTTTACAATTTTTTTTTCAAGGCAAGTGCTATGGCGTTAGATTGCCTAGGAGAGTGGGCAGCCTTAGCAGGGTATGTTGCATTAATTTCTTTTATAAATACAAAGGTAAATATTTATTTTACTTTTATTACCAACAAAATATATTTTTGTTCTTGAGAGGAACGTTAAACAACAAACTATTTACTAAGTTTACAAGCTGCAATGAATGTGCCATTCCTTAATAGGTTCTTTTCTTACTGTTTTAATAATAATAGGAGGAGGGCCATCACTATGGTGAACTTAAAGAAACCTAAGGAGAAGCCCATAAAGAGCCCCAGACAGAGTAAATGGGACGTCAGCTGCGTGCAGTGGAATCCTATATCTTCACATGCTCATCTATTTGTCACTGCAGTAAGTCTGATTCATATTTTACAACCAGTTCCAATGTTTTCCAACAATTTTAATTTATAAATTTTTAAATTGTATGTCCATGCATTGAAAGTTTGTGAAAATAAATTCTGATGTTCGGAGCTCAAAAATCCTATTTCTTGTATGTGTGTGTGTGTGTGGTGGAGGGTGGGGGGATGGTCTTACTCTTAGACCAAAAACATGGGCTTATGGTCAAAATCAATAATGGAAGATGCTTTTACAACTGTTTTTTTTTTTAGTATAATGATGCTTGTTTTTTGTTTATAATACCCTGTTCTAGTGTTTAGATCTCATTTATACTTCATGTATGATGATGAGAGCTTGAGCTATTCCGATTCTCAGTTTAAATTTGTAGCAATGCGTATATGCAATATCAGCTACACAATTCTTAATCTTGATTTAGGCCATGATAAATAAATTGCTAGATTCTCATTCAATTTTTTTTAAAAATCGAGGTAGGCGGGCGGCTTTTATTTTATATTTTTTATTTTTTAAATTTTGCAGATTTTTTATTGACCTGGTCAATCGGTGTGATTTTATCAACAATACCCGAATAAAAGTCATAGTAAAGGTTCAATTATCTCTTACTTCACATCATCACCAATCTTTTTCAACCAATGACCCTTGTTTAAAATATATACGCATGTATTACAGCAATTACCATCTTTTCAGCTGTCAAAATCATGTTGACTTTCGCGGGATTTAAAACAAAAGTAGAATGGTAGATGAATACCGATCCCGATCAGAATTAAGACGAAGAAAAACAGAAATAAAAAAAATCGAGGCGGGGGTATAAAATCGGGGCGGGCGGGGATGAGAATCTAGCAATATATTTATTATGGCCGTAATGGTGTTTTTATTGTCTTTCAGTACAACCAAAGATTAGATCTGTGTTCTTGGAAAGATTCCAACATTTCTCACATTTGTTCAATGAAAGGACATTCCAGAACTGTCAGGTTAATTTATTTTTAAATTGAGAGAATGCATTCAACATGATTTAATGTTTATGCTTTTATAATTGCAATGCTATTCAACTGGCCAATTTTTTTTGGTGCGATTATTTCGCTTAAGATAGATAATCAGTAATAAATGAACATTTTTGTAGCATCAAGATATTTTTCAATTTGTAGTGATGTGGGTTGGAATCCATTTGATGTGAACGTAGTAGCTTCCTGTTCTGTTGACTCATTTATCAATCTGTGGGATATCAGGTCAGTATTGTGATATCAAATCTGTATTGATATCAGGTCAGTATTGTGATATCAAATCTGTATTGATATCAGGTCATTAATGTGATATCAGATCTGTATTAATATCAGGTCAGTAGAGTGATATCAAATCTGTATTAATATCAGGTCAGTAGTATGATATCAAATCTGTATTTAATATCAGATCAGTAGTGTGATATCAAATCTGTATTAATATCAGGTTAGTAGTGAGATATCAAATCTGTATTAATATCAGGTTAGTAGTGAGATATCAAATCTGTATTAATATCAGGTCAGTAGTGAGATATCAAATCTGTGTTAATATCAGGTCAGTAGTGTGATATCAGATCTGTATCAATATCAGGTCAGTAGTGTTATATCAAATCTGTGTTGATATCAGGTCAGTAGTATGATATCAAATCTGTATTGATATCAGGTCAGCTGTGTTATAACAAATCTGTATTGATATCAGGTCAGTAGTGTTATATCAAATCTGTTTTGATATCAGATCAGCAGTGTTATATCAAATCTGTGATATCAGGTCAGTATTATGATATCAAATCTGTATTGTTATCAGGTCAGCAGTGTTATATCAAATCTTTATTAATATTAGGACAGTAGTATGATATCAAATCTGTATTAACATCAGGTCAGTAGTGTGATATCAAATCTGTATTGATCAGTAGTGAGATATCAAATCTTTATTAATATCAGGTAGGTAGTGTGATATCATATCAGATTGATAGTATATTTCCATGTCTATGATATCAGGTATGTTGCTGTATGATGTCAGATCTGTATACCAGTTCTGTTCACAAAGCCCTGATATATTGAACCCTAAATGTATAACACAGAAATCATTGTGTTTCTAGGGATCCAAAGAAACCCTCACAGTCCTTCCAGACAGTCTGTAAGTATTCTGCAGCAAAGGATTCATGCTGACATTTTAAAATCAAGAATGAAAAATAACAAAAAGTGAATGTGGCATCTCTGAACTAAAATTGATGTAAATCAATGTTAGATGATGTTAATGATAGAACTTACTATGGCATCTTTGAACTTTATTTATGGTAGATCCATGTTAGATAAGTTTAACAATAAAATATAATTGTTGTAGCTGGGGCTTACCAGGTGAAGTGGAATAGAGTGACAAGCAACATGTTTGCTACAACTCACGAGGGGGAGCTCAGGATATGGGACATCAGGGTAGGAGTACCCTACATAGTATCAATTTATTTTATAGACAATTCCAATCACATCTAGTTTAATGCATTTTAGTTTGCATATGTTTAAATGTGCCATTAGTAGCAAAGACACTTTTAATGCATGTATATGAGGATGAGACACCATACATGTATGAAATGGGTTTTTTTTTAGCAGAAAGGGAAAACAATGCCCTCACACTATATTGCTGCCCACTTGTCAAAAATCCATGGCCTGGATTGGAGTCCAAATTCTGAGTCAGAGTTAGCCACATGTAGTCAGGATTGTACTGTAAAGGTGAGTATTTTGTCTCCACTTCACTAGGATATCTTTGTAAATTTAACAAATTTCTAGTAACAAATATACTTGTTATAAGATTAAAGATATAAAAGTTTTATTGTATTGAGATTTTATAAGAGTCTGACATAAAGATGTTAGGGAGAATTGTGCTTCATGAATGCTGTAATAACTGTAGTATATAAGTGATTAATTGGCAATTAGTTGTGATTAATGTATGAATATTCTTAAACAGAATATTTCTTGTGAGACAGTTTATTAATTTTTTTTTACAACAGTTTTGGGACATTAAAAACACAAGGCAGTGCAAGGGGTCCTTAAGTCCCGGATCTCCCGTGTGGAGAGCGAGATACACTGTAAGTGTATACTAACCTCTGATACATGTCAGTAAAATTTATGTTGTATGTTAAAAAGCATTCTATCTTATAAAACCATCACTGTAATAACAGGATTCCACTGTACTGTAAAATTGATAATTTTGTTTTATTTTTGAGAGTCACCAACATGTAGTTTGTTGATCAGATTTTTTAAAGCTATTGGTAATAAATTGTACATATTTTCATTTTCGTTTTTATTTCCCAGTGGATTTCAATTAAAACGTTCTATTTACTTCTCAACAGCCATTTGGACAAAATATTGTAACAGCAGTGGTGCCCCAGCAGTTACGTAGGGGAGATAACTCTCTTCACTTATGGAGTACCTCTAGGAACAATCCAATTTATCAGTTTGTGGGACATCAGGACGTGATTCTGGAATTCCAGTGGAGGAAACAACAAGAAGGTGAGAGAACTAGGAGAGAGTAAACAGAGGGAGTTAACAAAGCTATGAGAAATCTTTTTTCACCAATTATCTAATATGCTAAATATGATTCATTTACTGTGATAAAAGCTTATTTAACCTTTGAAATTTGCATTAAAGGGTCGAGGGATCATCAGCTTGTGACATGGTCAAAGGATCAGAGTTTACGGATCTGGAACATTGATCCTCATCTTCAGAAGGTACAATTCTTTTATTGAGAAAATAAAATGTTTTCTTTAATTCAGATCATATTTTTGTATCCTGTAGCCCATATTTCAATGTCAGAGTAAAATTAAACCGAAAAAAGTTCCATAAAATTTGAATTTTTTTGTTTAGCGCTGTGGTCATGATTTGGGAGATGTTAACGACTCCTCTGAGAATGAGTCTGGACAGATGGAGAGGGACAGCGTACCCCAGGACTCCGTCCAAGACAAGACCCTGACGGAAAACGACCTTGGGAATGGAGACCTCCAGAGGCAGATGTCGATGAGTCCGGAGGGGGGATTATTCCAACAGCCCCAGACCCTCCAACAGGAGTTTGATCTGATGAACACAAACATTTCTAATGTCCAAGTAGAAGAGGTAAGTTAAATAATGAACATCAATATGTTTAGGCTCAAGTAAAAGTCAAGTACATTTATAATGAAAGTACCTGAGATACAGACAATTTACATGACATTTGTATTGTTTTAAAGGTTTGAAGTTATGGCTAATTTACTTGATTTAGATAGTGTCAGAATAAGTCTTATTGTAATTATAAGTGGGAAGTCTAAACAGCACTCATAAAATATATGTACAGTATTTGTAGAGGCATAGAATACAGACCTCTGTATATTACAGATGGATGCTGCCTCTAGAAGCTGTCGTGTGTTAGCGGTGTCTGGGAACTTCAGTGTTGGTCTGAGGATGCTGTTCCCAGAAAACTACCCCTACACTGAACCACCTACATTTGAATTCCTAGATCCCAACTTGAACTCCAACATTAAACATAAGTTGCACAAGGTAGGCATTTATATGTTTGATTTGTTTAATTAGTACATTGTATCAGGACGTATGCAGGATATATTGAAATTGTAGGTGTGGCATGTGTTAGAAATTATCTTTTTTAAATTTGTCTGTTCTTTACAAAGAAGTACATAAAAGCTTTTCAGTCCATTGGAAATAATGAATGGATAAACCCTTATCTTCAGCAGTCTTTACTTCCATTTTTAACTTCAGGTGCTTCTGGATACAGCATCAATGCATGTCAGAAGGAACACAAGTTGTCTGGAGCCGTGTCTAAGGCAGCTGTCTCAAGCTCTTAATCAACCTTGGAATGTAAGTCATTGTAAATAAATTCTAAGGCAATATTTATTTTTATCACATTTTTCACCATTTATGCAGAGATTATCTCTCTGACTATAGATTAATTTGACTTCTATGTAGTTACCCACAGAGGAGCGGAGGACCCCTGAAACAGAGACTACCCGCCCCTTCAACCTCGTGGGGCCCCCCACCAAGCCTCAGTACTTATCATGGCACAGTGCCTCGGGACTACAGGACTTTAACATTCCCTTCCCTAGAACCAGTGGAGCTAAGTTCTGTGCCGCAGGTAGACATGACAGAAAATCACAGAATACTGTAAACGTAGTGTGTTCTTTTGAGCGCCTTTCGCAGAAAAGAACATGTTTTTTTTTTTAAGTACAACATAAAATGTCTTGCATGCATATACATTAATATGAAAATTAAGAAAGGTGCTATATGGAGTCTATGCTAACTTGTTCAAAAATGAATTTCCACCAAATATTGCACAAGCTGAATACATTAACAGTAATTTAAGTGTTACTAAAAGCTCTAAACTCAGTGTTAGCATGTTCTAGGTAGTGAAATATTCTGTTAATATGATATACTGGAAAGAAACAATCTTATGTTAAAGATGTTTAAAATTGTAGGATACTTGGTTGTGTTTGGTCGCTCCCATGAAGCTAGGAAGGGACCATCCTGGGCAGAAGTAACACCAAAGTATGTATACATTATACAGAAACAATGTTCTGATAGTATTATCTAATCACCAAAATTTATGCAATGTATAATTACAATTCAATCATAATACAATTACTTGTGTACATAGATTTTGTTAATTATTTTTTTTTAGCTCACACAAAAGAGGTTGCCAAAATGCTGTATAAAAGACAAACACCATGTTGTTAAACCAATTATCAGAAAAGCAGTTATTCTATTAATATTTTCTGATGGAAAATAAAAGTTTGACAAATCTTTCTGAGAGACAACAATATAAACTGTCTGAATCACAATTTATTCAGAATACAATATCTTGTGCTCTGGTTAATGTTCACTTTTTCATTACACCCTTCTGATGGAAGTTTTTTTCTCAAAGGTTCACTTTCATTTTCAACTGAATGTGTTTCAATAAAACTAAGCAAAAAAAAATTTAAGCATCCTTGGGTGAAATTGATATAAGTTTATTCAAATGAAGGGCCACATATCATTGAAAATAGAGATAAACAAGCAATTGAAAAAAAAATAGAATATAATAACTATTAGAAAAGATAAAACTTTTGTGAAAGCTTTCTGACATTGAATAGGTTAAAATTGTGTTAAATCATGATTTATGATCAAAGTAGGTAGTTAAATACAAGTTTGTTCAAATCAGTACCCTGGGGAGTAGGGTGAGGCCACTGTTCTGAAAAACAGCAGGGCCAAAGTGAACCAGATGAGCAAAGTGGCCAGTGGGTCTCATCAATTGTATACAATGTTTGTTTAGTGTCTCTCTTTGATTGATAAATTTCACTCATTGCACGTGGCTCCACTTGCATGCATATGTATGTGCGCAAAATGACTTTTATTCCATACATCTACACAACATGCCTATTAACCCTAAAAAGGTTAAAATACACATGTGGTACTTGTTCCTTCAATGTATTCTCTTTTTGTTCTATTTGCAGGTCTCTCTGTGATTTGACAGATTTTGCCTCCAAAAGTCGGTTTCGCAATCCTCAGAAATTCTATAACAGCTTCTCCATTAGTCCCCCAACACCTGCCACAGAAAATGTGTCTGTCTCTTCCTGGTACCTGAGAACAACAGTAAGACTTGTATTTCATGTATTAATTATAATCAAAATATGTATTTAAAGAATTAAGTTTTCTTAATCATAGGGATTCTAACTAAAGGTAGAAGACATTAGTTGCATTGATAAACTTTTATTCATGTACATGTATATGCCAGATAGAATCACAAACTGTCTGTTATGTGATTCAATTCTTTTGAAAGGCAAGGGTTACATAATTTCCTTACGCTATGGTTTACCGAACTTGACATAAAAAAATACTTGGCTAATCACCTCACCTGTCCTCTTTGTGCCCACTGGCACCTAAGACCTTGGCTAATGGAGTGGGTTATTTTATTCACTATTGTGAAAATAAGTTTCATACTGTGCATATTTGTTAAGTGGTACACTTCCTATTCTGTACTTTATTATTGTATATTACAGGTGTCAAATCAACCCAAGGGAAAGAGAAAGTCTCGCCCGGCAGAGGTCCCCGATATAAAACCTGTGGTGGGACCTGTCAAAATTTTCGATAGTGCATGCATGCTACCTATTCACAAAGATTTGGGGAAAAAATATATGTAAGTAACATGAACTTAGTAAGTGAACTTCAATTCCTAGAAATTCCTAGTACGTCATTTCCCCCTATTTTGTATTTAGCTCACTCAACGGAACTGTTAAAGACATTTTTCTCAAGCATTTTACACTGATACAATGTGTCATATTGGTGGGAGCTATTCAACCGTGTCAAGATTTTCTGACTTTGACCTCCTTGTGACCTTAACCTTTAACATTTATTAGTCTGAGCAATATCCTTTTCTTGACTATACCTGTGATCATGGAAGTGGTGGCCTCTCCAGTAATACAAACTTTTTCCTTGTAGTATTGACAGATCTAACATCCAAGCCATGTGCACTCACAATGCCTCAGTAGCCGGCGCTGTTGGTCGTAAAGATTTGGTTCAGGTCAGATGGTTTTGAAGTTTGTATTGTGAAAAGAAGAAAAAAATTATGATTTTTAGCTCACTTGAGCTGAAGGCTCAAGTGAGCTTTTCTGATCACATTTTGTCCTTCGTCCGTCCGTCTGTAAACTTTTCACATTTTCGACTTCTTCTCAAGAACCAATGGGCCAATTTTAACCAATCTTAGTACAAAGCATCCTTGGGTGAAGGGGAGTTTAAATTGTTAAAATGAAGGGCCAAGTCCCCATACAATGGGGAGATAATCAAGAAAAGACAAAAATAGGGTGGGGTCACTAAAAAATCTTCTTCTCAAGAACCACTGGGCCAGGAAAGCTGAAACTTATGTGGAAGCGTCCTTGGGTAGTGTAGATATTAAATTGTTAAAATCATGACCCCCGGGGGTAGGGCGGGGCCACAATAGGGAATCCAAGTTTTACATAGAAATATATAGAACAAATCTTTAAAAATCTTTTTCTCAAGAACCACTGGGCCAGGAAAGCTGAAACTTATGTGGGAGTATCCTTGGGTAGTGTAGATATTAAATTGTTAAAATAATGACCCCCGGGGGTAGGGTGGGGCCACAATAGGGAATCCAAGTTTTACATAGAAATATATAGAACAAATCTTTAAAAATCTTCTTCTCAAGAACCACTGGGCCAGGAAAGCTGAAAATTATGTGGAAGCATCTTTGGGTAGTGCAAATATTAAATTGTTAAAATCATGACCCCTGGGGGTAGGGCGGGGCCACAATAGGGAATTCAAGTTTTACATAGAAATATATATAGAACAAATCTTTAAAAATCTTCTTCTCAAGAACCACTGGGCCAGGATAGCTGAAACTTACATGGAAGCATCCTTGGGTAGTGTAGATATTAAATTGTTAAAATAGTGACCCCTGGGGGTAGGGCGGGGCCACAATAGGGAATTCCAAGTTTTATATAGAAAAATATAGAACAAATCTTTAAAAATCTTCTTCTCAGGAACCACTAGGCCAGGAAAGCTGAAACTTATGTGGAAGCATCCTTGGGTAGTGTAGATTCTAAAGTTTTAAAATAAAAAAAGGAAGGGGGTTGTTGTGCATGATAGGTATAGCAAGAGGGGGAATCTGGTAAAGATCTGCATCACCCAAGTTACTCAGATGAGCGATGTGGCCCATGGGATGTAGTTTCAATATTAGAATTTTTATCAACTTTTCTGTAATTTCAAAATTATGAATAGTTTCACAGTCAATTGAAAACAAGATTTATATAACTAAAAGCATGACTTTTTAAGCCCATATACATGTATATATTTTTAAAAGACTCATTTTATTGATTTAGAAATGAGGATGATGTGAATAAAAGCTGTAAATAAATGCTTTAAATGTTTGTCTCTATTGGTAGTTGTGGTCAATGGTTGGCATATCAGCGAGCCAAAAACTCAAACCTAGTGATGACCCAGATGATGGACCTCCGTGGGCACAGCATCCATTTGGGAAAGAAATGATCAAATATCTGTATGTTAATAAAATATATCAATCTTGGTCCAAAATCTCTTAATCTTACAATAAATTACGCAATTCTTCATTGTTATTTTTCGACTGATTTTATAATTTTTGTCAGTTGTGTAAGAGAAGAGATGAACTAAGTTATGAATGTATCTTTTCTGTCACTGCTATTTAACAAAGGTGATGTAATTTTAAAATGAGATTTAAAAAATCATGGAAGTCTTATTTTGCAGATTTGACTACTACATGAAAATCCATGATGTGCAAACCCTAGCCATGCTGGTGTGTGTGTTCTGGAATAGAGAAGATGCCATTGTACAACCCCCCAAGAAAGAGAAAGCCCTACCCCAGTCTACATCAATGGATTATGTTCCACATAATGTAAGTTAAAACAAGTAAGCAGGCAGATTTTATTCATCTTATTTTATATCATGTTTAAAATTTAATTTTCAAATTCTTAAAATTGAACATTTTCTGATTGTTTGTTGAAATTATTTCAGTGTGATATTATAATAAGTCATAATAGTTTTGAAACATTTATATGATAGATACATTATTTTAAAGATGTCTTGAAAGTTTTTATTGAAACTGATAGAATTGTGCTCGATATTTATAAATATTGACTTTTACATTGCAGCTGCATTTTTAACTTTATAATTTTTCTATAACACTTTATAGTAATACAAGCATCGTACATGAATGTTTTGAATTTCACAACTTACCAGTAGTACAATTCTCTGTTAACCTTGGACTTTCAGAAAGGCATGATATTCTCGATGTTTCATAATAAGTGTCTGAAATTTACACACCCTTTCATTCACTGTTGAAATATACATGGGATAGAAATGCAGGCGAATGTCAACAAGTGTAGCAATGATCAAATGACAGTGTTTCATATGGCAAAGAGGTGGGGTGTAAGTCATCTCATCGTTGTCAATTTAAAGTTGCTATTGCTTTTAATTTCTTAACTAATGAGAATTTATTTTCCATTTGAGAGACGTTAATTATGTAGCATCGAGAATGCCACGCCTAACTGAAAGTCCAAGAATGACTGAGAATTGTACTAATGTAGAGTCATTACTAGAGAGTAGGTCCCCATTGTTTCTGGGATGTGTGATTATAATTCCTTTCTTGTCTTAGATGGACAATCCTGATTTCTTAAGCAGTTCTACAGATAGTGGTTGGCGTAAGTTTCTCCTTCAATCTTATCTATGTCAGGTGAAAACATTAAAACACAGTCGAAGATAAACTCCATTGAAAACAAAAATTTCTCTTTACTGGGAAATGGTTCAAGAGAGTTTTTTTCCCCAAAAATGAAGATTATCAAGGACAAACTGTTTTCAGGCTTTCATTTTGAAGTTTGTCTCAAAAATTCCTTTCACCTGACATTGTTTCAGCTGTTGACGGTGTATTTAATGAGATGTACAGTGTAACTTGTAGCTCCTGAATGCCATGTATTCTGTCAAAGAGGGTCGATAAAATTGAAATGGTTGGATTTTAGTACATGTGTATATAAACCTGTTGTTTTAGATGCTGCTGAATTTTGTGGAAAAAAAATATGTGCAGTTATTTTTGGGGTCATTTTTAGCTCACCTGAGCCGAAGGCTCAAGTGAGCTTTTCTGATCACATTTTGTCTGTCTGTCCGTCTAGCTGTCCGTCTGTCTGTCCAGCTGTCTGTCTGTCTGTCTGTAAACTTTTCACATTTTCATCTTCTCCTCAGGAACCAATGGGCCAATTTTAACCAAAGTTGGTACAAAGCATCCTTGGGTGAGGGGGAGTTTAAATTGTAAAAATGAAGGTCCAAGTCCCCTTACAAGGGGAGATAATCAAGAAAAGACAAAAATAGGGTTGGGTCACTAAAAAATCTTCTTCTCAAGAACCACTGGGCCAGGAAAGCTGAAACTTATGTGGAAGCATCCTTGGGTAGTGTTGATATTAAATTGTAAAAATCATGACCCCCAGGGGTAGGGTGGGGCCACAATAGGGAATCCAAATTTTACATAGAAATATACAGAACAAATCTTTAAAAATCTTCTTCTCAAGAACCACTGGGCCAGGAAAGCTGAAACTTATGTGCAAGCATCCTTGGGTAGTGTAGATATCACATTGTTAAAATCATGACCCCCGGGGGTAGGGTGGGGCCAAAATAGGGAATCCAAATTTTACATAGATATAAATAGAACAAATCTTTAAAAATCTTCTTCTCAAGAACCACTGGGCCAGGAAGCTGAAACTTATGTGGAAGCGTCCTTGGGTAGTGTAGATATTAAATTGTAAAAATCGGGGGGTAGGGCGGGGCTACAATAGGGAATCCAAGTTTTACATAGAAATATATAGAACAAATCTTTAAAAATCTTCTTCTCAAGAACCACTGGGCCAGAAAAGCTGAAACTTATGTGGAGGCATCCTGGGGTAGTGTAGATTCTAAATTTTTAAAATCATAAAAGGGAAGGGGGTAGTGGGGTATGATAGGTATAGAAAGAGGGGGAATCTTGTAAAGAACTGCATCACCCAAGTTACTCGGGTGAGCGATGTGGCCCATGGGCCTCTTGTTAAGATACTTGTACATGTGTCAAAACTGTTTCACTTTCACAAATTACGTGTACATTGTACTTGCCATAATTATGGAAAGAGTACTTCATGTACATGTAGTTATCTAACAAAATTTAAAACAGTTTTTTTTTTACTAATAACTTAAAATTTTGTTTTGCTTAATTTCTAACAACATTTGCAAAAAAAAAAATTATATAAGTAATGGCATAAACTAACTAAAATTATCATATATTTTACTGCACAAACTAAATAGCTGGGGTTAAAACTAGAGTAGTATTGGAAGAAGGTCTAATGTAGAGGTAGATTACTAATAGTACCTTTCACATTTCAGTGTGTATCATTAGTTTGTCTTTGTCCATTGTCTGGCATCAGATGTCACAAGCAGTATCTCTTTCCCTTAACTCTTTATTTCTTGATGACTGAATTGTAAAGGAGGGAGATACTGAGTGGCCCCTGATGACCACTGTCTTGTCCACTGTAGCACACTGTGAAGTTTTCTGATACCTGTCTTGGCTCTTTGATTGATGGCCCCATAACTTTTGCACATATTGTGAGATGTAGTAGAATGATAGTATTTGGATCAAAGTAAATGAGTTTAGATTTAAACAGGAATTGTTATTAAAGGACAATTTTAGTAGGCTAGCTTAAATGAAATAGTGATAGCTTTTTTCTCTTAAATAATTTTATTCCTTTTTTCATTGTGAAAACTAGATTTTTAAAAACAATAATGTGGCATGCTTTATTTGATTTTTTTAATTTAGAAGTGACTATAATAGGATATTTTGAAACTGCTACTGACCTTCTTATACCGAAATGTGTCTGACATAGTACTCACTTTCTGCTATTCCTGCAACCTTGCTCTTACACAAATTGAAAAAAAAAATTATTTTGTCATAACCACAGTATCGTGTGATGCAGATTTATATAGAATCTATTTCAAAGATACAGCACATAGTAAATATAGCTTTTTCAACCAACTCACTTCTTTACTTTCGCATTTCCTCTAGCCTCCTTGCTTGCTATAAATATATTTTTATTGCAGGTGAATAAATAAGGAAAAAAAAAACAAAAATTGATTGAAGATTAATCCAGGAATCAAGAATTTTACAAATATTAATATTTTTGTCTTTTAAATCATTTTAACAGGGACCTACAAGAGTGGAAACATGGAGATCAAAGCATTAAAATAAATGGACAAAAAAATTGAAATTTTTAGCAGGAAAATTTTTTACCATATTTTTGGTTTATTTTTATCAACAGTATAGCCCTTATCATACGGTAACATCTGGGTCTAATCTATTGAAGAGCTTCAAGAGTAAGTCCGGAAAGTGTGTTGTCTGAACATTAGATGCATCTGACTCTCTCATTGTGCTAAATAAAACAATCAATTCTGCTTTTAATGCCTTACAATTATGCTTTGAAGAGCCAAATTTTAACTTTAAAATTCTAATGTGCTTATATAAACAATGCATTAATGGCAATTACATGTATAATTTGATCACCTTTTTAAAGAGAAAAGCGCATGTTCTAGTATTTGGTAATGCGGAAATTTTGATAAAGTATTAAGTACTGTTCTGTTTTGTTTGTTGAAGTTTAATGTAACAACTTACATGCTTAAGTATTTAGAGGGTCCAAAATTAACAGATTTAATAAAATGTTGAAGGTGGGGGTAGGGGTAAGGAAGCAGAGAGTCAGATTGATCAAATGATGTCTTCAGTGTATACCTTTAACAGATTAATTAGAGTGATTAATTAACTACCACTTGGTCATGCTCTGCTGCTTTCATTTTTGTGACAACACCATAAATTAAGTTCTTTCCTCTTTCTTATATCAAGTCTTATTTTTACATTCCACATAGAAGCATTTAGGATTAGCAATTTGTTGGTGTGCTGAAACTTCAAAGGGCAAATTTTCCTTTGTTTGACATTTTAGTTGTTTTGCTTCTTTTCCTATTGCATTTAACTAGTTTTCAACTTTTATGAACTTTAAGTAATTCTTGTATATGATTATGAGGGATTATTGTTTAAATGTTAATGAAATGATACTGCTAAATATTAAAGAAAATGTGAATAGTATAAGAACCCATTGCATGACACCTATTTACCATCATTTAAAGAAGTCAGAACAGCTAGGGAGTGGAAAAAAATTAGATAATTCCATAATTCTCTAGTCACAGGCATTTTACTTACATTTTCACATAATTAAGTTTGTATCATTATAGTTATAAAGTTCATTACTGTAAACTAACTTTTAATTGTGTGCGAGAAATTTTCGCGAGGTTCTTGAGAGCCACGTCATCTAGAATATTTATCATGGCAAACCAGTCCTTAAAGTCTCTATATCTATTAACAACAGATCCAAAAAAGGCTTGATCGCAAAAAATTAAATGTCGCAAACTAGTTTAACCTCTTGAATAACGAAATAATGTCGTCCCGAATAAAAGTTGGTTTACAGTTTAATGTTTGTTGCATTCAACATTATGCTCATCTTTAATGTAAAATATTTATGGCAAGTGCTGCATGGCTTGAATTGAGGCCAGTAATGTGATAAATGTCATTTATTCTTCTGATCATATATTTATACATGTATATCTATATTTGTAAACAACTTATTCAAGAAAATATTATGTAAAATGCAATGCTTCTCTTGAAATTAAATATTGCTCATAAAGCTGTAAATCATTATTACCTAGTTGTATTAATCATCACTATGTTTGTTTCTCAATTTTTTATTTAATCAGACATGTGCATCTCAATAACTAGTTTTTCATTTATTTAGAAATTTTCATATATTTCTCAAATGAAAAACATGAACAAGTATTAAAGATTTTAGAAATTCATTGGAAAATTTCAAAATAAAATTTCTGGAAGAATTCCTCTCTTTTAAAAATATTGAGGAAGAGTTTTAAGCATTTATTTTTTAATAATTTTTTGTAAACATTGTTCAGTTATTAATCCACTGGTTTTAATCCATTTCGGCATTCTTAGAAGTTTTAAGATGTGGAAGGAGATCAGAATCGGGGGCCTGCAATGTATAGTTTTGTTTTGAAATATAATAAAAAATCACAAGAAATTCTAAAGCTGAACACGACTTGTAAATAGGCATTTGCCATATTAGATCTAGTTTTCTTATTTCCGAAATCAGCCCTTGAGAATACTCTTTGCATTCGTTACACACGACTGCTTCCTTGTCACAGCTTATATAGACGCCTCAGATATAATGACAGAATTCAAATTAAAAAAAATGGCAGACAAATTCCTTTTACAAATCGTCTTCAGCTTTAATGTACAAAAAAATTTTGAAATTGAGGTACAGTATAATGTTGTTGAGATTGCTGTCTGATGTCATGCTTTCATCACCTGACTAATGCTGCTCATTTCTAGCACTCACCGGTCACTTACAAGGTCACTCATCACGACCCCTACCCACCACTTCTACCGTTCAATCGCGACCCTCGCAACATCACTTGTCAGAAGTCTCGTCACACCCCGACCTAGTGGCCATGACAGGTATAGCATCCTTAAGAGGTCCATCCCTATCATCTGTAATTAATTAAAAGCAGGTTTAATTTTCACAACTTTGTTCATACATGAGAAGATTTAAATAGGACTTAAAATCATTTTAATTTTTAGAAATAAGGATATATGATTTAATAAATCAATGTCCGACTCAGGGAAAATGCCAGATTAAGTTCAGAATGAATTTTCATGATTGTATATATGCAGAGTGGTGTTTTAAGGTCTTTTTCTTCACTTTTAATTTTTTGGTTTTAATTTTTTGGTAGTAATGTACACTGTATTTAAAAATTCTACATTCTCTCTGGGGTATTTTGTTGTGTAGTGTCAGTTTATTAATATTTCACCTTTGGTTACTGTATTCTCACACTAATAAAAAGTAAATAAATCAAAGTACTTATAAACTTTTTTATCACTTGTTTGACTGTAAATCTTCAAGAAAACAGAAAAGAGATGAATTTGCTTGCATTTGCACAAAGGAACTTAAATTTTGAAAAAAATTTAAAAACATATTTAGAGACAAAAGCATTTTGCTAGTCTAGATAGCTTAATATATCTGAGAGTTAAATATTCTTGCTGAACAATGACATGAGAAATGTTTGCAGTAGGTGTTCTAAAGATCCGTCGATCTAACAGCCTGTCCTGCCTCGAGGACTCGTTTGAGGACTACAAAATTGAGGACGAGGACGGCATCAAAGAGAAGGAGAATGAACGACTGGCTAAACTCCACGAAAGCAACTGTAGGTGAGGAGTGGTTAATTTCCTGTTGGGTTAGCAGTCTAACAACATTCTTTGAGCCAATAGTATTCTCTCATTGCTTTTAGATATTGAAAATCTCAACAGCCTCCAGTATGTTCAAAAATTTAATTTGTATTTAAAATGCATTGAACTTTCTTTTGAGTGAAAAAATTATGAATCTTCCATTTGAAATGAAATTGAAATAATTATTTCTTCCAAAAAAGATTATTTAGTACATTTTTGATAAACACTTAGACTGAAGAAGATGCTGTTACATATAAAATGAAAGTAATTTAAAGTTTGATAATTTCAGGCTGCTGGATCCAAATGCACAAAATCAGTATGATGTCTTCCTGAAGTCTTATGCAGATATTCTGTACCACTGGGGATATACAAACAATGCTAAACTTGTGTTGAAATACTTGACACAGTTACCAGAACCCCATACTGGCATAGGTAATATGAATTAGAACTGTAGTTTGCATAAACAAGTACTATAGTATTCAACATGACAGGTACAAGTAAAATATTGTACCCAGGTAGAAAGTTCAGTAAAGAAACAGGACTGTATGAGTGTGTACCCTTTATTTATAGTGCAGTGGCAGATACCAAATATTTGTATAAATACTATTATTATTTTTCTATATTGTTCCAAATGTCTGATTGGCTCAAACTGGATCACATGATCAAGTATAAAAAGTGTTACAGACTGGATTCATAATGCAGATGACATAACAATGCCTTATATGAGAAGGTACTGAGTATTAGAAAGAAGGATTTACATTTCTTATTAACTGATAAAAAATAATAAAACAATTATAGCCTTTTGATTCGGTACAATCCTAGATATATATATATAACCTCTTAAAGAAAGCATATCGATATGCTTTCTCTAAGGTCTATATATCGAGAGATTGACCTCATTAAAAGGCTATAATTGTATATTAATATTAACAATCATTTTGAAATTAAAAAGTTTTTGCAGTAAAATTAATCTACAATTTTGTTTTGTTCTCTCCTCCATTAGAGTTTGGTGTCCGTTGTTATCACTGCCACCAGGAGGGTCGTGGAGCGAAGTGTGGGTCATGTAAAAGTCTGGCCTTCAACTGCTCCATCTGTCACATCGGTGTCAAAGGTAATCTGTGGAATCAGTGAGAGATCATTTACCCCTCTCCCCAATCACGAATAAAAGGTTGCAAATAATAGTCACAAAAAGTAATCATACCTTTAAAAATCTGTAATCAGGGACATATGGTAGGTAAGCACAATACACTTATAGATAGTGATACCTCTTTTTTTTTCCTCTAGGAAACTCTACTTTCTGCCTGCGGTGTGGACATGGTGGTCACACTACACACATGATAGACTGGTTCAAGGAGAACAAAGAGTGTCCCACAGGTTGTAGCTGTAAGTGTGTGGAGGCCAAGTCCGAAATCACTATGTGATTGGGGGTCAAGTCCAAAATACAATGTGATGAGGGCCAAGTCAGAAATATAGGATGATGGAGGCCAAGTCAGATATGACAATGTCTTGAGGGCCAAGTCAGAAGTATGAAATCACAATGTGATTAGGGCCAAGTCAAGAATCACCATGTGAGGTGGGCCAAGTCTGAAATCAGAATATAATGCCCAAGTCAGAAATCACAATGTTATAGGGTTCTCTAACCAGGTCAGAAATCACAATGTGATGAGAGCTTATCACAAAGAAATGGCTGCCTCCACATGACTGATTTGGTCAGGAATCAAAATGTGAGGGAGGCTTAACATTTTCTTGCATAAAATTTCTTATAATGATTTAGGAAGAAAGTCAGACTTTGGAACTGATACATGGAAAGCCAGCTTCCAGATTTAGTCAGTAGTCTCATTTCTGGTCACAAGATGTGGTGTAATAGAACTATAGTGCAATCTAAAAGAGATCTCACGAATAATACATTTGTTTGCTGTTTGATATTTATGCCTTAGCATCTATTTTTTTTTTATACAGAATGATTATGTACAGTAAAAAACACTTTTAATGAAGTGCCAGGCACATGATTTTTGCTGCGTTATAAATGTTATAAATTATATACAATACTGTCACAATACATTTTATAGCAGGGGGAATGAAAATTATTTTGATTGAAGTGTCATATCATTATAAGCATGTTCTCAATAAGTGTGTTTTACTGTGTTGCGTAAGAAGTGATGTGCAAGTTACCAGTTTAATGTACGTACATATAGTTGCAAGATGAAACACAACAGCCGTTATGATGGTATTTGAACATTGATATCTAAAACAGTGAAAACACACTATAGAATGATTTTGTTATTTATTGTTGATGTTGGAAAAAAAAAATAAAACCAAATACAATATATTATGTTGTTGTCTTGAGTTCATTATGTAAGCCAAAGCATCTTTAAGATCATTAAAGTTTTATCAAATTTTTCCTTTATTACTGCAAAATAATACAGTGTACATGTAAAAAGCCAAAACAAGTAACTTTACATGGCAATATTTACAGCATACTAGAACAGTGGTTTCAGTATGTTTTGCTGAACATCCAATTTTAGCTCTAATGATCAGAGACCAGAGAGCTTGTGTTAAATAGGTCCATGTGTCTATCTATTTGTCTGACTGTAAACAAGCTTTCAAAATGCTATTCTTTGTACAGTTTTAGTCTGATTTCATTATACCAGTAATTTGACACACAAGATTACACTAAGATTATGAAATATTGAGATAGTGAACAGTGTTCTAGCTCAAAGTCCACTTAAACAATGCAAATCTGGATCAAAACAAACATGTTTCTTCAGAATGATCAGAGATGGGATTAGGTGCCATGGTAGATGGAGCATCCCCTGCTGACCCCTTGCAGCCACTGTACATACTCCTTGTCATGATCAGGAAAATCTGTGGTCAATTCAGTGTGCAAAAAATGGCCTAACAATTCATTTGAAAATCTTCAGTCAGCATTTGACTTAATTAATGATAGGTTGTATTTATTGACAATGTCATTGGATGACTTCAAGCGAGACATTAAATATCCTATTTTTATTGTTAATAGCTTGCCTTTTCTAGAAATTATTCATACGTAGATCATGCTCTTCATATCAAGTCAGAAGTTATAAATCCTGTATGCAGGTGATGATTTATCGGTTTTTGATTTCAGCTAATGCTTTTGCCATACTAAAATGGAATTTTTTGTGGTCACTAAAGATAGAAATTTCTGTAAAATTCTTGGAAAATGCTATACTTCTCTGGCAATTTTAGATCAGTGTACTTTTATTGCAGTTACATAGTTTGAAGTTGAAGACCTACTTTTCTCTTTCATTGTTAAAAGTAAATCTACAATCCAGTAGAGCTACAGTCTTACCAAAGACTTCTGATATATACTGTCCATGGAAATTAATGAAACAACAGTATTGTTGCCTACCATTGGATACTGTAGATTGAAGAAGATATTTACTAGTATAATAGACAGGAGATGAAAGATCAAGATAACAAATTGTAAATTGGCCACATACACTGAAAGCCCTTGCTCAGATGTAGGAATAAAGCAAGTCTAGTCTACATGTAAAGACGTGGTACTTACATGTAGATGAAATAAAACCTTACTGTAGGTTGTATTTATTAACAAGATCATTACTGTGATTTAGAATGCTTTAAACTGATCTAGAAGTTGTTTAAATCCTTGTAACATCAACTTATTTGTCAATAATCAGTGGTGGATCCAGGAATCTTGAAAGGGGGAGGCAGTTTTGGGTCGTGGTATGGGCCCATAGTCACCCCCCCCCCCCCCAAAAAAAAATAAATCGATTTATTTAATTTTATGTATTTTTTGACTGGCCCTCCTCTAAATCCGCCAGTGATAATTTGCCTTACTTTAAAAATTGTTTGTATTCAGAGCATACACATTCAGAGTTTTCATATTACATGTACCATAATGGCATTGCCAGTGATATGAGTGCAACATTTGTGCTTTTGGGAGGTGTGCAATAAATATTCATATTTTTCTGATGCTGACTCTTTACAAGTACTATTTTTAAGAAATAGAATATATTTGAAGCTATTTAAAGCTACATTGTGAAAATAATCAAACAGACAAATAACAAAATTTAATGGATATAAATCATTAATAAATACAGCTATAACAGAAATATCAAACACCTGTGAATATCAGGATATCACAACTTTCAAATTCTTGGACTGTGTAAATTAACCATGACCTTTGATTTTGTTTAAACAGAACATCTCATTAATTCTAATCAAAATATTAGTAACATACTTCTTTTATGACTAATATTTGACCACAGTGACAATTTCAAGTGATCTATTATAACATTCTAACTTTACCAGACTAGTATGTTCAAATAACCATAAAAGGTCGTCCTTGATCTTGACATATAAATATTAAAATTTTTATTTCAAGTACTTCCACCTGAACTGGTCACTGTATGAACACATGTTAACACTATCGCATCTAATTTCTTAGAAAGCCATATTATTTTTTTCAATTACAGAAACAACCATTTTAGCGTATCTGACAATATTCCATCAAGGATTTGCATATACAGGTGTGTTCCCTGAACGTCTACTCCCTATACAGGGGCGTAGTATCAGGGGGGGCCAGGCCCCCCCACTTTTTCTCCCGACATTACCTTTACTATAGAAAATGTTTACTGAAAGGAAGGTTGGCCCCCCCACATTTCAGCAAAGGGTAGTGTTATAAGAAAATTAACCTCAAAAAGTTTGAATTGAAAGATAGTTGGTCTTGGAAAAAGTTAGCCACTACCCCCCCCCCCCCCCCCCCCCCCCCCCCACGAAATAGGATTTTCGACTTCGGGCAACTTTTAATTTTTTTTTTATTTTTTTTTTTTGCTTGTCAACTTTTTCTGGTAAGTAAAAAAATTTTTTCTCAGGTTGGCCCCCCCACTTCCAAAAACGATGCTACGCGCCTGCTATAAAAACAGTATAATTATCGCACTCAATTAAGGGGCCCCTCTAAGGGGTACAGGTAGCATTTACCTGTGTTACCTGTGTTTTAACCGGTATGAATAAACTACATTATACCTGTATTTATAAGACTGTGCAAAAGACTTATATACGGAAAATCTTAGCAATAAGTCCTTTAAAATGAATTAAATGTTATTTAGATTTTTAATTATTTTTTACTCAACATTTCCAAGTATTTACTAGGTATTATAATCAATTTATATTAATCAATGTTTCAAAAATCTTACCAACAAGCCCTATAAAATGAATTAAAAGTGTTCAAATTTTTAAATATTTTTTTACTTGAAGTATTTATTTTAATTTTGAAGTAAAAAACTACCTTCATTTAAATTAGAAAAAAAAAGATTATTTTATTTTGCTAATTAATCTTTAATTCTATTTATTTTTAATCAAAATGTTTCAAAGCAGCAAATGTTAATATCTTAACAATTTAAATGTATTTTACATATTACAAAAAAATCTTTCATGGCCTACTCAGACTCCTCATCAGAGCTGTTACACCTTGGATAGTGATCATGAAGAAAAAATCTGATGTGATATTAACTCTGTTTTCCATTTAAATATTAGATATGAAAAGAATATTAGATAGTTTCTAAAATGAGATGTTAATGAATATTGCTCAAAGTGTTTCATGTATTTTAAAAATTAAATTTGTAAATAATAAACTTGGTTTCACTTGACATATATTTTTTCATAGTGCTTGTAATGAAATGTAATGAATTAAAAATAAAAATATTTATGTGAAAAACCCTTGTTTAGTGTCTTGAAATATGGTTATTTAATGAAATAAATCGTGGTTTGATACAAATTCTTTATCAGAAAAATGAATTTATCTGATTTAGACTGTTAAATCAGGATAACACAGGTAAACTCTACCTGTGGCCCTCAGAGGGCCTCTTAATTGAGTGTGATAATTATACTGTTTATATACGTAGTAGATGTTCAGGGAATAAACCCATATACATATCATATGTCAACTATGAATATTGTCGTCTTTTAATCATTGATATCTTCGTGTTTTACTCTTGAATATATACTGAAAGATGCAAGTTCCAACCAAATCATTCCAAAAGTGTTTTCGTCAAACACTACAAATTGGGCTTTAGAGAAGGAAGGGTTGACGTAGCGATCGGCTGCAATCTGTCCCAGAGCGGTGCATCTGAAATAATAAAACATGGGTTACATTAACGTAAGTACAATAAAAATTCTTGTACTTATATGTATAGGGAAAAATAATCCCATCTGTAATTACAAGAAAATGTCTAATAATAGCGAGTAAAAAACTTGGAGCCCTCCCCCCTTTTTTTTCCATACATGAATTTTTACTAAAGAAAAAGTTCTTCATTTAAAGACTCCCCCCAACTTTTTGTTGTAGTATAGTAAAATAAGGCTAAGAGAAGTAGGAAACCTACATCTCCTTCCTGTTTTTTTTTTTTTTTTTTTGCTTTTCAAGTTTTTCCCAGGTGTGTTGAAAAAAATTCTCTGTCCCTCTTCCAAAAACGATGCTACATGCATGAATTACGACATCGTGTTAAGAGATTATTTTACGATATTTACTCACAGTATAATTTGAAGATAGTTAGAACGTAAATTTAGTATTTATTTTACTTGATACAAACAGACTTAAGTTGTTCTCATTTTTCTCCTACCTGAAAGTACACGTTTTTGGTATATTCTGAATATCACGGTCATAGCAGTCCATGGGTAATTTAAATGGCTGCGTGTCGGGAGGAGGTTGTTGATCGTTCGATTCAGAGGCCTCCAGAAGCGCTGGAAGAGTTTCTTGCTGACTCGCTGTCAACACAAGAGTCGATGTTAAGTCTGCCTTCACGCTAATTTTGGTTGCTGGTATATTCGGATCACCCTGTAGTTTTACAAGAACAAGAACAATAGAACATGAAGGATAAGGCAAAGCTGTGAAAAACTATTTCTCTAATAGTGTTGTTTGATATACACCAAATTTTGAACTTCAAATAAAAAAGAAATAAAACGAAAGCCAATTTAACTCATTATTCCCGAGCATTATTTTGAAATTGAACGATTTTCATGTTATAATGTGCATGAAAGTTCCGTGTTTATTTGCGAAAATTTTGCATTATGACGCGATTACCCCCTCCCCCCTACAAAAATGAGCCCAATGTGTTTTCATTAATTACCACATGCAAATGTAAAGGTGATAAAAACTTACAAGCAATTAGAAGAATTGATATCAAGAATCAGTATATCAACAAATAGACAATCCAACAATTAATGCAATATTACATTGCCTATCTTCTTCTGTTCCTACTTACAGTAATTTTGGTAGCAGTGGCTTCTGTCTTGTCTGTATTATAGTCCAGACTCAGAATCTCTATCCCATGGGCACTGTATGTCCCTTTAAACAGTCCGGGTTGTATGGGAACATTAGCTCTGGGCGCAGGAACTTCTAACGGTGTCCATCGATAATGATGCCTTTGGTATAGAATTTAAAAAATGTTAAGCAAATGGTATAGAAAGTCTAAGAATATTTACCCTATTTATTGTATGCAGTGAATTTATACGCCAATTTCAGTTTCTATACTTTGGCTATTCATGAAAAATTCTTTTCAAGGACTTTTTTTATGAATTTAATCTTCTTTGAATCAGTTTGGTAAAAATTGAGAAAAAAAATTAATTAATGTATGATCAAACATAGGAAATCAGAGATTACAGAGCTCACCTCAACGAATGTTGTCTTTAAGTAAGGCAAAGTCACACAATTAACCAACAAAAAGTATACATTCCAAAAATGAAAATATTTTTAAAAGCAATTTTGATCTGATACTTTGAAATAGACCTACATAAAAAATTTAAACTACTTCTTCATGAAAATGTAATGAAAATCCAGCATCTGAAGCAAATTTGAGAGTTTTCATCTCTTGATGCAGCATTTGTGCAAGTTTGGTTTATACAATGTTATATAAGCCTTATAGTTTTTGGTAATAGACCTGCAACCATAACTTTTACCTCGTCTATTATCTGAAAAATGTATGTCCAATTCAGCATCTGAAGCAAGTCCATTAGTGTGCATCCTTAGATGTATCATCCATGCAAGTTTGCTCATTATAGGGCTCATAGTTTATTGGAAATGAAACATGCATCAAAACTAACATTTTCACTCATCCACAAAAAGTAGGTCAGATTCAGCATCCGAAGTAAGCCTGGAAGTATGCATCCTTAGATGTATCATCTATGCAAGATTGGTCATTAAAGAACTCATAGTTCCTTGGAAATGAAACCTGCATCAAAAACTTTTAACTAATCACTCAACCGGAAAATGTAGGTCAGATTCAGCATCCGAAGCAAGCCTGGTATTGTGCATCCTTAGATGTATCATCCATGCAAGTTTGGTCAACATAGGGCTTAAAGTTACTTGCAAATGAAACCTGCATCAACAACATTAACCTGTTCGCTCAACTGGAAAATGTAGGTCAGATTCAGCATCCGAAGCAAGCCCGGTAGTACATGTGTGTATGCATCCTTAGATGTATCATCCATGCAAGTTTGGTCAACATAGGGCTTAAAGTTACTTGGAAATGAAACCCTCACCAAAAACTTTAACCTGTTCACTCAACCGGAAAATGTAGGTCAGATCAGCATCCGAAGCAAGCCCGGTAGTATGCATCCTTAGATGTATCATCCATGCAAGTTTGGTCAACATAGGGCTTTTAGTTACTTGGAAATGAAACCTACACCAAAAACTTTAACCTGTTCACTCAACCGGAAAATGTAGGTCAGATTCAGCATCCGAAGCAAGCCCGGTAGTATGCATCCTTAGATGTATCATCCATGCAAGTTTGGTCAACATAGGGCTTATAACTTGGAAATGAAACCCACACCAAAAACTGCACCAAAAATGTTAACCTGCTCCAAAAACATTAACCTGGTAATTCCTTTGCTGAAATGGCAGCATCTGAAACTTTGTCTGGTACAATAAAACACACTAAAACCATCTTCCATGCATGTCTAATCAGTATAGGACACAGAAGTAATTAAAAAGAAACTGCTCCAAAAAACTTAACCTTAACCTGGGACGCCGACGCCGAGGGTATCACATAAGCTCCCCCCAACTTCGTTGAGGTGAGCTAAAAAACGGTCCATATATAGTCAACACAGCCAAAGACCGCGAAAATCTAATATCAAATTAAACCTTGCAGGTTACATATCATATATAAGATACTAGTATATAAAAATATGTAGAATATTTTCTACCATTCTCTCATAAAAAAGTAATAGTGAAGGTGAATGGAAGAAACTAAATGTGTGAGAATCAGTCTATTCAATACATGAATTAGACGTACAAATATTTATTCTCGGAAAACGTTTTACCCCCTCCCTCTCTCCCTCCACTAGGCAAAAAATAAAGGGGGGTTACAACCCCGGACCCCCCCCCCCCCCCCCCCCTGGATCCGCCTATGAATAATAACATTTCAAAAAAAATACAACATTTTAAAGGATTTCTATACTTTGAGGACAGGTAGCTTTTTCCTCTTCTTTTGTAACAATGCCTGTAGATGTCCATCGCTTCCTCAGAGCCCAGCTCTTCTTCCATCCACTGCAAAAAGACACGCCAGCATTACAATTTTATGTGTATATCCATAGATCTAAGGTCTATGGTATATTGTACAATTATGCAATGTTCCTATAAAATGTTTTATTTGAGCTACACATGTATGTGAACAGCTGTGGTACTACATGTATTAATGACTTTGTTGCATTTTTGTGATATATCAAGGCATATGTCTTTACACCTATTGTGATGTGATTTTTGATGATTTTTTTTCCGTGGACCTACTTAAAATATTTGAATAATTGTGTAAAAATCAAACAAGCTTTGGGGTGCATATCAAAAACGGGAGAAAACTCGTAACAAATCTGTGACTAATGCTTCTAATTAGTTTTAATCAAAATCTCTGCATTAGAATCTGAATATGTCCCAAATTATATAACAATAATGAATACATGAACCATTGAGCAAATTCAAACCCGTACCAAGCATTTTGTTACTTATACCTGTCTGATGGATTCCTCATTATGATTCTGTCAGTACTTTATACTTGTACCCGACTGAAGCAATCCTCATTCTGTTTTTGTTAAGAAATTGATTTTTTTATACCTGATCAAGAGATTCCTCTTTATGTTTAGGACCCTTGTATTCAAGAATTCTTCCCTTCTGAAATTCATAAAATGATCCTAAAAGTACACATAATACGGAAATTCTTAACTTTTGTTTGCAATAAAATATGCTTTGGAAAGTAAAATAAGAGTTTTTCAAATCTATTAAAATAAATTTACTAAAATTCACTTTTTTAAAAAAATAATAATCCCCTACTAAGACATAATAATTATGTGTAATTAGTAGGGATGTCAAATCGGTCAATTTTTAATCTTACTGATGGATTCCTCGGTAAAAGTGTAAATAAATATGAACAAGTTAATTGATAACTGTAAAACATTGTAAATTCTTGTACAAATTAAACCGATAGGAGGTTACCTGCAAATGCGTTGTAAAAATTATGACCACTTTGTAACGGACGAAATTTAATCTAATTTTTTTAAAGTTCAATTTATTTATGTAAATAAGAAATAAAATATATGTTCACAGTGTTTTTGTTTAAAAAATAATCTGTTCCGTAATTGTAATGCAATTCCTCTTTGACGTGTGATAAGTTGGACTACATGTATGGTATAAACTTGATGTTATCCTTAACAGAGATTTATACGATCTTCGTACACTTTTTGATCCTAGATTTCATAAAATTCATAAAATGATCCATTTGCATTAAATGTAATACACATAATCGCACGTGCGGAAATTCTTCTGAGAATTGACTTTTGATTTATTTAAATATTGCAATAAAATAATTAAAGCTTTGGCAAGGTAAAATAAGAGATAATTTTTAAACAACATAACTATTAAAATAAATGTACAAGTGCAAAACATTTTACGTTTGAAAACCGATGTTTTTTTTTGCTTTAAAAAAATACATCCGAGTAGACATAATAATTATGTGTAATTAGGCAACATTAACAGTAAAAATATTCTATAGCCCACATACAGTATCAATTTTTGAGCAGTTTCTATGACAATCTTTATTCGAGTTATACCCCTTTTTTAAAACATCTGTCACTGAAAATAACTCTATATAATCAAGCTCATGTATATCTGTGTGCATGTGATGATGTGCGATTCAGTTTTAATTAAAAAATATATATATTTTATATTATTTTTTTATGGGCAAAAGAAGTTTTATATCTTACCAATTTGTCTTCCTCAACTCTTATAGAGCATGGACTTTCTTCACAGGGGGTACTGTGTACAGAAATGATCTTGATTTTTCCCGAGGACGTCAGTGAAATTGTAAATATTGTCTTCCTCCGCAGTGGCCTCTCCACATGTGGACTGACTGGAGCTAGAAGTTCAACACCCTTGATACATCCGCTGTCATACTAGGATTCAAAACATCAGTTTAAAAAAATATTGAGATAAAATAAAATCAATAAACAAAATGAAAAAGTTCAGAAATGTTAACAGTATTTTACCATTACCTTAACTTGCATAAGTCCTCCATAATATTTAAAATCTCTCCACCACAGCCCCACCAGATCGCCGTAAAGATGTAAAACTGCATAAAAAGCATCATTTAAAAAAATTCCTGTACGTACTGATGTCTTGTACCCCCCCCCCCCCCCCAAAAAAAAAAAAAAAAAAAAAAAAACAGATAATGTAGATAAAAATAAATGAAAATAATTTTCTTATCTTACCTTTATGGTAGAGTTCTCGGTATGTAACATTCCAACCATTAATGGATTTAAACTTATATTCTGTAAAATAAATTAAAATTGCAGTTTGCATACATTTTGAATTTAGGGTAAAAATTAATAATTTTACTAATTCATTCATCAGCAAATATCATAACATCATGAAAATTTTCGATAAGAACCATTTATTTCCAAGTTTGTCATTGAAAATATTACGATTCTAACATTTAGGCACCTATGGGCCTCCATACAAATTCTACACACAAACCATAACAAACCAAATGACTAGTGACAGTACCTTCTTCACATTTCCTTTTCCAGATCGATTCATCGTAAGCTATGTCTCTAAGCTGTTTACACGATAGACACACATTCTGAAGGTCCTTCCCAGGGATATTCCGTAGAATTCTTGTCAGTAATTCAGGGGGTAGTAAAAGCAATTCCGTCATTACGAAACGCACCGAATTAACATCAAGAGAGATAACTCTGTTTATTTATCAAGTTTATAATATGCTCAACAAGGAAAGTGGAAATTCGAGATGTCCTTATTGCAGTCGTGCTAAGCGACATATAAGAATAAATCTGAACATTTTTCAAGCAATTGTTCAAAGCAAAAATGTAGTAAAATATAGTCACGAGGTGTCCCCCCCACTTTCATTGCAATCGTGCCCCCCCCCCCCCACTTTTTAATGAAGAACAAAATCAAGCTATATTTCCCCAACAACTATAGGAAATGTTTATGAAGAACATTTTCTTGGAAAGAAATACAACTTGCCTTTGGAAAAGTTCCACAAAGCAAAAATAGTTTGGGGAACTTTCAATTTTCTTTCTTTTTTTTTTTTTTGCTTGTCAAAGAATTTCTGGAGTTGAGCCCCCCCCCCACTTTTAAGTTTGTGACTACGCCTCTGAGTAAAACATATCATATATAAATATAAATTCTCTCTATGCTAGATATCATGGTTTAAATGTTGCTATAGAATTTCACATAAAAACTTTTCAAAGAACTTAAATATTTTCTCTGGAAATTATTGAAACTACGAATTTCGGGACGTGTTTGACAAATCTTTAATTGTACATTCACCAAGTAAACTTTAAAATCCTTTTAAAATACTTAAGAAAAGTAGAAATTTTGTTGTGTATTAATGACAAATAATGACATGCAGAAATAGACGTTAGAAAGCAAAACCATCTCACCAGTATTGCCAGTCCGTGCTTAGTGATGTGAACACACTCGGTGAAACGTTTGTTTGTTGCTTATTCACTCATATGGAGACACTTGCAGGTGGAGGTGGAGGACTTTTAAAAGATTTTGAATTATACTCGGGCCCATTGAGCAGTGAAAGATCTCTTTCATGCCACCTACAGCGCCGACACGGGACCTCGGCTTATATTGTCACATCCGAAGGACCGGTCTCCACGTCCCACAGTGAGATTCGAACCTGCGACGTAAGGATTAACTAATTACTCCGCGACTCGAGAGGCTGAGCAGACTAACCGCTGTGCCACGTGGGTGAAACATTTTTTTTCTGTGAATAGGGTACTTGACTGACTCTTTTGTTGTTAATGTTTAATGTATAAGCCCCTTCAATTGTGAAAAAATATAAAAATATTCAGCTCCTCTATTTTGATTGTTTAAGTCTCTTGCAGAATGTGCAGTAAGGATCTTTTTCGTGCCAGCATGTCGCCCGCGTGGCGCAGTGGTTAGAGCGTCTGCTCCAGAGTCGCAAAGTCGATTCGTACGTCGCAGGTTCGAATCCCACTGTGGGACGTGGAGACCGGTCCGTATAAACCGAGGTCCTGTGTCGCAGTAGATGCTGACACGAAAAAGATCCCTCGTTGCTCAATGGCCCTAAGTGCCGAGTATAGGAAAGAAAATTGTTACTCTCCACAAGTGGTGGTGGGACGTTAAATAGCATTCAATCAATCGTGTCAGCAATTACCGCGACACGGACTCTCGGTTTATTTAGTCTCATCCGCGCGAAGGACCAATCTCCATTCAGATTCTAACGAGCGAAGTAAGGATGGATCTAGTCCGAAATATCAGACGTTTTCCTGGCTTTTTAACGATTTTGATATTTTACTTGCCAGGAAAACGTCAGATATTTCGGACTAGGATGGATCATGAAGGCCTTCATGTACACTTTACTCCGCGACTCTTACAGCATACATGTACCATAAACCTGTAACCTGCTATACAGCAGTTTGCTTTAGGTCTGTATAACCACTGTACCATAGGGCTATCTTTTAGCAAGGACCTTTAGGTCTCGGCTCTTGGTCTAGATTCTTTAAAAAAGGCACTGTTATGTTTCAGCATTTTGGTTGAAATAAATCATGATGAATTGAAGAAACAATACGAAATGTGTAAAGAGTACATAACACACGACCACCTTGAATTTCCAGAGGTAGAATTAGGTAGCGTGGGGGTGGGGGGTAACCATCTCCTGTTGACCAATGTTTACTAGTGACTACCGCGTCTGGTTTAAAAGCTTCACGGATATCTTGCTCATGCAAAGCTGATCATTTTCATTTTGGGAAAAAATAATCTTCCTGTTTGTCATTTCTTCATTTTACCGCCTTACGTGTTTATGAAACCTTTCAAATACAGTATTTAGTTACACAGTGCATTCACAATTATTACTAAAGGGTGCAAATACTTAGCTTTAATATTCGGAAATTTCCTTCTCTTAACAATGAGAGTAAGAATTTATTTCAGCTCTCATTTATTTATACTTACTATTACAAACGTGAACACGAAATAATAACCCTAAATAAAGAAAATGGATGCAACTAATTAATTTAATATGTAAAGAGGACATTTGGATATACACACTGTACAATCATATCCCAATGAAAGATTTAAAAGTTTCCTTTTCTCCAACAGTTATATTTAATCTACACCATGCGGTGATTGGTTACGAATGTCTGCTCACGTGACATTTGACACATTGCACAGCACTGGCAGCAGACAACAGTACAACAATCCTTGCAGATCGTTCCCTGAAAGCATGAACAAAGTATGTATTCAAATAATAAAAATGTTTTTGATAAATTGGTTTTTCATCCGATTTCTTGCTTACTAGTATGTGGCTAAACAGACAAATCATGTTCCCCGCGTTTTACGACAGCTAGACCCTTGGAATTACATGTACTAGTAATTCACAGATTCAAAAATTTCTTTTATAATGTCAAATGAGAACATCCCCCCCGATACTAATAATGAAAATAAGATCCTCAATTTTGTGTTACCTATACATGTAAGTAAGTGAAGGTACTTACATTTATGCGTGTCTGAGTGCGGACTTTGGTACGCAGAGAAATCAATGCGCACGTACTACCCATAGCAAGAGGCAGGCACGTATTTTCTCCTAGCTTCTTGGACAAATAGCATGGATAGAAAAAGCAGCCGCACCATAGTACTCCACAGCCTTAAATATAAAAATGTTTTTCCATGAACAATGTGACTGCCAGTGAAATGATAATATTATTTTTATCAAACAAAAGATGTATAATCTCACGTACATGATTTCATGTCGGAGCAGCAAGAGCACAGACCAGAACTCCAGTCTCGAGGGGATTTTATGGCGTTCTGTTGACCAAGCTGCAGAGAAAGGACAGATTTCAATGACACTGGATCTTTTGTTACTATTAACAACTCATTAAAGGTGAAATTTTAGCTTTTAGGTCCTCATGCATTGATCAAAAAATGTGTCCTCTCGAAAAATTAATAATGACTACAAAGTCTTCGTAATTCTAACTCTTAAACCTGTTTAAATACGAGGCTGTCCAATGCAGGAAGAATTAACCCAACCTTTATTTTAAAATAATTTTAATATGTACTGATCTTCTAAAATACTAGACTGCCTAGTAAAACGAAAATGACCCCATTGCGTCAATAATTGTACAAAGGACCCCTTTGGAAATACGCTTTCAAGCTTTCATAGGCTCTCTTTGGTCATTTCGAATATAAACATATTTTATATACAGACAAAAAAATAAAATTAAAAAATACCGGGTATTTATGGATTAAACAGAATGACTTACGTAATTAAACGCTTGCCGCGGAGTAGGTTTTTGAGCCACAGGTGGAGGGGTACCAAGATCACTTCTTGGGGGTGGTCTTTGTCCGTATTGGTCGGCATATGGAGCCGGACTTCTATGTTTTGGAGCCATTCTGACCTGGTCGCCTTGATACATTGGACTGGGCTGTCCAGACCTTGGCATTGTTTTCGACTGTCCACCCCTTCGGACATTCGCCTCGTCTTGTCCATACCTTCCATCCGTTTCTCTAGACATTGGCACTCTGCCAGGTTGGTTCGTTATTGGCATCCTATCGTGTCTTCCAGGATATGGTACTCTGTCAATTGTATTGGCTTCCCTGGGTCTTTCATGTTGGCCAATCGTTGCTACCCTTTCAGGCTGTCCTGTGATTGGAATCCATTCTGGTTCTGATAGTGGTACTTCTTCGAACTCCCCGTTCATGGGCGGAGGAGCTGGGAAGTCATATTCACCGTCTCTGTTCATAAGGGATGGTAAAAATGCAACTTTCTTTGCTCGAAATGGAATTGACCTAACTATTCCCTGACCATTTCAGACTGAAGCCAAATACAGTGTTTAAATTGTCATATAAAAATTAATTCGACTAAAAAGTTGGGGAATGGAAGAAAAGTAGGAACGAGGAAATATATATATACATTTTAAAGGATCAGTTCTTAAAAGATGATTGCTGGTAAAGTATTTGCACTTGTGTCAAGTAGCTGGACGGAGTTGGAACCCTTGATACCAATAACACTCGTACTTCTGGATTTTGTTCATGAATTTAAAGCTCTCGGCTTGAAAATGTATGTCTTATAACTCATCTTAGTTGATAAAAAGTTCTAATAAAAATTGTGCATTATTTAACAAATGCAGAAATAATTTTAATTTTCCCATAAGCGAAGATTTGGAGGTAAATACTTATAGTGTTTGCCCTGTCCATCCGTCTTTTCGTCTAATCTTACTCATAACTTTTAAATGGGTTGGGCTATGGTTTTCAACTTTTCATATATAGGCAGGTGTATTCTTTGTGACAATACCTTTCATTGGGTACCACGAATTTGACCCCTTGACCTTGGAATTTGCCCACTTTTACAAAAAATTACCAAACTTGAACATAACTCTTTGAACAGTTCGTACCAGGGTTTTGATACTTACCATGTGTAACCCTTCAATGGGTAAAACTATTTTTAGCTCACCTGAGCCGAACGCTCAAGTAAGCTTTTCAGATCACATTTTGTCCAGGGTCCGCCTGTCTCTCTTTCTGTCTGTCCGTCTGTCTGTAAACTTTTCACATTTTCGTCTTCTTCTCAAGAAGCACTAGATCAATTTCCACCAAACTTGCCACAAAATATTTTTGGGTAAAGGGGATTCAAGTTTGTCCAATGAAGAGCCATGCCCCATTTTAAGGGGAGATATATACAACTTTTAAAAATCTTCTTCTCAAGAACGAC